GAATGCAGAAATCGAGTATATGGCGAAAACACAGTATTTGAACTTTTAAAATTCACATTAAACTTCAACAGAAAACTTTCTATATAGTCTTGTAGATTGAAGCGAGCTCTGTTGATTATTATATTGCCCCTTATCTAAAGTGACAATATAGTAGAAAAAAATTAAAATGAAATGAGTATCCATGTTTCACCATTTTTAGGGATGTCCAATGGGGTACTAACAATCAGTTATCTCTGTAAGATCAACAAGTTTTCAGAGCCAAGTTTTTTTGACTCTAGTATGGTATAAAGTAACTCATCTTTCTATATAATTGAACTCAAAGTTTGAAATATACACAGGCATTCAATATAGGAAAAATCTACGATTCCTTTATAGAATGTCTGTTAAATAGACCTGAAATGGATGTAGTTCGTGATCTGTGATTTTCAGCATTTGAAAAAGAAATGTTTGAGAATATCGAGATGGCTAAAATCATTAGGTTAGTAATAGCAAATGACTAAGAGGTATCTAGATGTCTGGACTAAAGTTAAACTTTTGCACTCAAAACTTTCCCATTACATTTTAGAACTGTTTAGATGGATTATGTCCATGGAGAACTTCTCTTTACCAGCTGGAGTTTACAGAATCTTGCTCTTTTACTTCTTTCTACTACTTAGGACATATGTAGTCACCAAAAAAATAGTCTCTACTCTACGGGTTTCTTCACTAATCTTGTTTTCAGATAGGTTTGAGAGCGAACTTTTAACCTAAGTCCAGGTTTCCAGAGATTCCTTTACCATCTCTTATCCTAATGCTTTTTCTATTTATATATTTTCACCACATTTCTCTTTCGAATTTTGAAAGGCGCATATCGCTAGATACATCGGTCTCAGAGATATTGAAAAAACATCCATGCGCATAGTAACTATTTTGGTACCGATAGTAAATAAAAAGAAACCTGTGTAACGCTACTGTAGTTTGAATAGAAGCGATGCGACGTATTTGTTTGAAGATATAACTCTTTTCTACCGTTGTTGGCTAGTACGCAAAATGATAAAATGTTATGTATTTTATCTGTGCACGTTCTTTTATAAAGTAGGCAACGAATGCAAGGTATTTTGCTCGTAGAAGCATCCAGAAACTTGTCTATTTGCGCATTTATTCGTTATCTTTACTGCAAGAAAAAGAGAAATTTAGGGTGGAGTTGTAGTAGGTTTATTTTATCGTAGTAGAGGAAGGCAACACTATAGTTTTGTAATATGACTATCTTGATAGTGATGAAACAATTTCTGTTTCATATAGGTAGTCTAGTAGTAGAAGAAAAAGAGAATCATTCTTCTTTTATCGAATTACCGTCTTATTCCCATTCAGACTGCTTTCGTCGAAATGTGCAGCACATCCACTGTCGCTGATAAAATATTATTCATCGGAAAAGAGAAGAGTGGATAAGACTCTTTCCTGGCCCGCATAAATTTTCGGCTTTCCTGTGCTGGGGCGATGTCGACACATGCCAAGGAACATATCCTGCAGCGTACGAGGAAAAGTCCCTAGATGCTGTCATTACGATTATGGTTTGCCCGACGTAATTGAATATTTATTGAATTCTCCCTATGGTTCTCAATTTTTTCATCGAATCAGGTTTTCGAATTTCGACTTGAGACTTTGTCCATATGAAAGACTCACTTAGTCTAGCTTGTGTACGAAATTTCAGAATTTTTGAATCTAAGCTGTTCGAGATTTCCATGTCTCAAAACTTAGAAGCTATCCCATTCATACTGTGAAAGATTACTCCTTGGAAAAATGCATATCTCGAAGAGATGATGTCTAAAAGTTTTTCAAACTTCGTACACAAGCTAAACTAAGTCAGACCTTCATAAGGGCAAAGTGTCAGATCAAAATTCGAAAAAAATATGATTGTATTCCAAAATTGACAACCGCAGCTAGAATTCAACAAAAATTCAATTATCTGCGTTAAATCTTAATGAGAACACGAACCTTTTGAGTGTTGCTCTAGACTATCTGTTTCCCACTATTGGGAAATATATGAACTCAAAAAGCCTTTGATTATCGATAGACCTTCGCTCATTAGTTTCGCATAATGTCTCGGTCGGATTTTTCAAACTTATGGTCTTCTACAGAGCTATTGAAAAACTTTCATTCTATATTGTTTTTCAAAACCACTTAGTAACATGCAATCAATCATGTTGGTCACGAATATTACAGTTAGAAGTGTTGAAACAAGTTCACAGGGAGAATACAACAATTTGCCACAATTTTTTTTTTGTTTTCGTAAAACTAGATCCTTATAAATCCCACAGCCCACACAGCCATCGAAAAGGTATAATCGATAATGCATGAAATGCAAAATTTTACCCTGAATCCGAGTATAAAATCAGAAAAGTTACTCAAACTGGAGATTTCTTGAAAATCGGCAAAAATCAATCGAAACCGAGTTTTTCACTGATATTTGCCCTATATGTTCCGAAAGGTTATCTACAAACAATACCCAAACTTTACATAAGACATAACCTTTGACGCACTGTCCGATGGTGTTAAAAAAGTGTGGGTTGATGTTAGAGTATTTTATATACCTATTCGCAGATCGAAATCAAATGCTGTATTATCAGCGGGCATATCATGCACACTAACACAGAATGTGAGCAAAAAGTATAGACGATGAAGAAGAGCACTTTGAGGAAGAAGGTCGTGAAAGAGAAGTGTAACATGTGTATGCGATGCGAGACAAAGAGTAGTTAGAAAATAAAGACAAACCCGAAAGGAGAAACAAGTTCAGTCTGAATCAATAAGAGTGAACTATCAAAAAGGTTTTCAAGTAATATGGATGATATCCATCGTTCACTGATCTGCTCGGTCTCAGACAAGTGAAGAGATTGATCTTTATTCCATATGAAAAGGAACAATCAAAGTGAAGTAGTCTTTGCGAAACGAGAACATGCAGAGAAAGAATGAGGATAAGAGTTAAAAAGGAAAATGTGGAAGACAAAAACGAAGTAACGTAAATGTAAGATGGAAAATGATACAGAGAGAGCAGCAGATGGCTAAAGAACCCAATGCAAAGTCTTGCAAACAGAAAGAAACATGGATAGAAAAGAGGTAGCTCACAGACTCCTTATTGTTATGATAACATTCTCTTCGTCAACTTGCCTACCTTTAGCTAACAATCAGATAGAAAAGTATTCGTTATCTGGCGAGAAGACAAACACGAATACGGAGTGAATCGAGTTTCAAGAGAAAGGCAAACAGGCGAAGAGCAAAAATAATGGATTGATAACAGCGACGTACAGAAGTGAAGGTGCAGTGGGCGAAGAAAGCTATTGATGGTGTTGTAGATGCTATTCATCATTCAGACGAACAAATCATTCAATGCACCAAGAATATCGATACGATAAATGACTGCGAGTGTGGGTGTGAATGTGAGTCTTCAGTTCACCCACATTCACATCTATATTGACATCTGCACCCTCAAAAGAAGATTTTAATTGTTAACTCACACTGCTTTTGCTACCAATACATCAAACTAGATGATGAAAGTGTAAAAAACACAACTTTCCAGAAAGATGGTGAAAATCTCACGGAATTATCCCAATTAAAAAAAATGAATAATGAATTTCGATAACTTTTGCCATCTAGAAAAAAAAACCATTCGATTTATTAAAAATGAAATTGAAAAAAATATAATGCTTGTGAAAATCTTTTTTATTAATTGTTTTTCAAGGAAAGAAAAAAATTAGCTCGATTAGTTGAATGTGAATAATTAAATTTACTTAGTACAATATCTGCTTATCTTCAAGCAGTTACAGAATATGTAAAATATTTGATTGATTGAAAGTGAATGAAATTCTGTTGGATATTCTTCGTTAATTATGATGAAAAAGACTAATGAACCGAACACGAAAGAAATACTTTTTTTAAATATTTGGTCTCAGCTGATTTTTACCAGATTAAATAATATTTCCAATACATACATCAATTTAATGCCAGAACATTTATACAGAACTTCTTATTTTATTAATTTTACTATCATAAACTGAAATTTTGTCAGTGGAAATAACGAAATCGACTAAACATCGTGTCATTTGAAGGCGTTTATATTCATCGAATGATCATGCTTTATAAGAAAATTATTTTTCTTAAAATTTTAATTAATTTTTGAATGATAGAAGGTCATAGTCATAAGTATGCTTCGATAGCTCAAAAGTCATCTACACAATGATGTATTATAAAGTTTGAAGAATTGAAAAAATACGATGGAATGGCTCTTAACTTAAAAGTCTACCAAATTTGATATAATTCTGAATATATATCTAAGTATTATGTTAGGATAATTATACATAAATTAAGGTATTTAGAAAAGTTACTGAGACACAGTTTTAACATACTTTTAGCAATGACTTTAGAGAAATCTTGAGTGGTTGTTAGAGATAGAATCTACTTATTTTTATTATTTTTTCATGAATACACCATTATGCGTCAGCGCATCTACATAGCCATGCAAAATAATAATTTGTAGTGCCTTTTAGAGTGATCTTTACGGTTAGAAAATGTTTAAATAATTGTTGTAACAAAGATTTATTTTATGTCGGATGATCCATTGAAGCATGACGTGAAAATCCACTTTACACCAGTGATGAATAAATTGAACTTTTATTTGTATAAATCAATTTCACATAGGAGATATTGCAACACAAGAGAGATACATATCTATTCATTTTCATCAATGCCATAAAATATTGAATGTGCCTTTACATAGGTTTTCAACATGAACAATAATTATTTTTTGTATTGTACAATCAGACAAAAAGAAAACTCATCTTCATTTTTCTCTAGAAAAATAAAAAAAAACACAATTTCTTTCTTTTTCTATCATTCTAATAAATTAATTTAAAAGGTTTGATATAAATGAAAGATATTTTTCTAAGTTTTCAAATCAGATATTATGCGTATTATCATGACAATGAAACATTCATTCTATATACATGTAGTACCGTATTTATCTTAAGTTAACAACAATTACATGAGTATCGACAAACAATCTTTTTCACTTGCGTGTTTAACATAAAATGTGCAATAGTTATAAGTGAAACACCCATAGTTGTTAAATTAATTTCTAATAAATACATAGGCTTTGGTAGAGGTATTTCTGATAATGCTTGCCAAAAGACATTAATAAGAAAGATAATTCCACCACATGAAGCACAGACAATTTGAATGAGTATATGTCGTACAAGCTTCAACTCACGTTTAGCATTCTGTATTGTTAGGTATTTATTTATATTTTGATCAGAACGCAAAATTCGATAAGTTGATTGACGTACATGATATAAAATAGAACAGTAAACCATAATACTAACACACAATGGTATACCAATGATCATGATCATACAATATATTGCTGCTAAAAATGCATTCGTTTTTACTATACAAGTACGTGATTCTTTTTCTAATCCAAGACTTCCATCAATAAATAAAGGTACCATTGGAATTGATGAACTAATAAGCCAATTGAAAATAATCATAATAACATGTGTACGCCATGTAAGAAGATATCTTCGTTTATAATGAATAACAAAAAACAAGCGACTAAGAGATTGTATTGAAAATGAATAACAAACAGCAGCTAATGTAACGACAAAAGAATAAGCTCGAAAAGTACACAATGGTGAATTCCATGTTCAATCTTGACGAAAACCATAAATAGATGCCGAAATAGTCAAGATTAAATAGAAAATAACAGCAACCGAAGTATTGCATGCAAGTAAATTAGACATACTGTGACATTGTTGATTAGTAATAATAATTATTATTAGTGTAAAACTAAATGTCAAACCAATAATTGAAGCGATGATTGCACAGGAAAAATTGATAATATAAAAAAGATCGGAAGGCATGTTCGATTCTAAATTACGTGACATTTTTTATTGAAATGAAATGATAAATGCGATCGGACCAAATGTTTTTTGTTTTCCCTCTTATATTTCGTTATCAAGATTTAAGGCGTAATATGCATAAGACTGATCATAATGGGTGAAAACTAATATGATGAACGCAATTATAACGAACGAAATAGAACATCGTTCATAAGTTTTTAATCATGAACGTTGAACTAGAAAATTTAATAAAAAGAAATTAAATCTTTGTCAAACAGTGAACAGATAATGTCTTTCATTACATTAGAAAAAAGAACTAGAAATTTATAAAAAAATATATGTTTAAGAAAAGAAATAATAAAATAGTGTTTTGTCATCATTTTGTAATCAAATCAAAAGCAGACTAGCCGTAATATAATATCGCAAACATGTATTAATTATTTTTATCATAGTAACTGAAGAAAATCATAATTTATTCAAATGTTCATAGAAAAAAATTGCATCGCATAATCAATGAGGAAAACAAACAATGGGATAACATTCAACAGACAGGCATACTAAAGAATGTCTTTTTTTTCTTTACTGATTGCCTTCAAATATTTTTTTTTTCATAGTTAGTGTCATCACATGTTGCGTACATATTTCAAACCAAATTTTGCACCTGTTGTTTTTTATTCATATAAAACTAAACAATCATTTTGACAACAGTGATCATCTGTATTACATTTGTACTCACCAGAATATTCTAATAATGACTGTTTTTGTTTCCACTGACATTCTATATAAGTCAAGAAATTACATAAGATATTCTATCATGCATGCAAATAGCTAAATGAATAAACATTTTTTATCTCTGTCTCCATCTATGTTTCTCATTAAGGTTGATAATTGCGTTTTTATTTAAATGAAAAAAACTATAAATGAACGCACAGATTGAGACCTGAAGATGTGAATGCATATAGAATACAATAATGAATAAACGACTAATAGTTTATATTAAATATGAACAACAAACAGCAAGACTTTAATTGTACCCTCCTCTTAGGCCAGGTATATTCCAATCACATGAAATATTTAGGATATGTTAGAGCAGTAGTGGAGAGGTTACGGTAAAATTTTTAGCTCTATATTATGATGTTTTCAAAAGATATTCAACCAATAAGGACAAAAAAAATAGCTCATTTGACAACGCAACGAAATTCTCTGTGAGTCTTCACTCTATACATTTATCTTTTTTGTGAAACACGATCTAAAAGGAGTATTGAAATATAAGGGTAAAAAATTTGGACACTTCTCTCCCTTCCATAAATCGTAACAGATGTTGTTGATATATGATCAAAGACCGAATATAAATAATGTCTTGCCATACTATATGAACTACTGTTTTTGTGACTTATATTTAATTGAGCAATAATGAAATTTAGCAATAATTATATAGAATGAGCAAATTTATTTAAATTAAAGGTAAATTTTATATAAGGTAGATTTTATATAAAAAAGAATGTTATAGTGTGACTCGCTTATATATCTTTTCTCCTTTTTTCTCTTCTAAGATGTGATACAGATGACAAGTACGACACATATATGTCGGAGTTCACTTTAAAATATTTCAAAATCAACTAATTGCCTTTTCAATTCAACTAGTTGAATTTAAAATTTATTTTGAAATCAACTGATTGATTTTAAAATATTTTAAAGTCAACTAGTTGCCTTTAAAAGGGGATCAAATTTTAAAATCAACTCCAATATATACATATATCTTTTGTTTTCTTTCTCTCTTCTTTTCTTTCCCTCGCTGAGATATTTCTCTTCTCTTGATGTTGTTCAGGTATATTTCCTTCTTCATCATGTTTTCTTTCTAGGATGTTTGGTTTTTTCCTAGCTCATTTACATATATAATTACCATTTCTCCAATAAAGTAGTAGTTCAGTATTAATGTATTAGATCAATCACCCGTTGACCAAGGGCAATATGAATTCATTTATATATACAAATACGTATTTTTTCAATTTTACAAAATAAAATATAAAAAGAAAAGGAGATAGACCATCTAAAGCAAAAAAATCTTTATTCACAAAATAATATACTGTTTTTTTCATTTTTCTTTTGTTTCAATTGTAGATAACTTTTTTATTTCTCTAATTCATATAAAATAATATAGTTTTTCTTTGTTTTATTGCTAAAATATGAAATTACTATTGCTACTTAATGAATTAATTATTGTATATTTAACAATATAAAATTACTCAAATAAAGCTTTTTATTAATCAAAAAATATTGTTCAAATAAAGTGTTTTTGTTGCTCAAAAATTATTGCTAAATCGTATTTTGATTATATGTCCATTCCAGTATTTTTATTGCTCGTATAAATACCAGCCTCTTTTTATTGTATTGCTGAAGAATTAAGTAAAAAAATGATGAAGAAACATGTCCCAAAATAGATAGCATAAAACACTGTTCCTATAATCAGCGGCAGCAGCTACATCCTGTTTCATATTTTAATCCCACAGGAACTACACTAACAGCTTTTTTTCGTTTGAAATAGCATGTCAAAATGCAGGGTATGATAGAATCTTCTTTTTTTTCAACTCTTACTTTTTAAGAGATGAAAAGTTGAATGTATCGAAAAACTTTCAGAAAATAGTACTCTAATTATAAAATTACTCTTTTATATAATAGAAACAAATTTTAACTCAAAAGAAGAAACTGTCTCGTGTCCTGCATTTTGGCATGCTTTTTCAAACAAAAAAAAAGTCAATTAACTATAATGAAGTTCCATTGAGAATCCTGGGATGCGTGATCAAAAGAACATAAATAAAGAAAAAACAAAAAAGATTTCCTGTTTTTCCTGAAGACAGTATCTTTTTCAAGCAGACGATGACGGAAATTATCAAAACACGAATACGTCGAATATTTCGATAAATCTGACAAAAATTGAGTTTCTTAAGAAGAAGAGCGTAAGATAAGACTGATGAAATACAAGAAGATTATCACTACAAGTATTACACGTATTAATATAGTTGCAATCAAATAACATTTTCGTTCAATGATAAAAATAGTAAATATTAGAATGCCCACCATAAATACAGTAATTGCAACCATAATTAATAAGAAACAGTTGATTGTGTAACAGTCATTTTGGAAATATATCTATTGAATAAAAAGTGAACTAACATTTACCTTATCTATTTGAAATATCAATGAAAAGTTTTAATTTAATAAACGATTAAATATATTTTTAATATGCTCAACTACTACCAGCCATTCTTCATTAAATATAACGAGAAATATGAAAAACAACGTTTATTAAAAAAACAAAAAAAAATACTCTTTTAGCGAGAACCTTACGTAAGTTATTATTTTCTTTTAAATAGAAAAAACTATAAAATAAAGACATGAAACACATTATAATTTACCATGAAAACTTTGTAAATGAATCGTTTGGGCTTCTTATAATGATATTAATCTAATTGTTGAAGTATCCTCAAGAGGCTGCAGAAGTTTAGTAGATCAAAAAGAACATAGAATTAATTTTATCAATTATTTTAATGATAAAATAGATAATTTTATCTATATTACTCAAAGCTAAAAAGTTCTTCTACGAAACATTCAAACTAAATCATTAGTTATTTTTTTTTTTGTGAAACAGATAGATGTCAATTCCTCAATCAATTTTTTTTTGTAATTTTTAAGTTAATCTACTATTTTCTGAGATCATTGAAAATGAAGTTTTCTTAATTAATGTAATGCATTCATTGGGGAGATGCTTTTAATCAATAAGTCAATGAAACATTAGAATAGCATCTAACCTACAGAAGAACCTGCATATACAGTAGTAAAAATTAAGCAAATAATAAATAGATTTCAGTTAAAGAGAATTGAAAAGATTTATAATTGATAACATAAAGAGGCTCACAAATTTAAAATGGATCAAACAACTGATTATATCATTGGGTTCATATGAAGAATATTAATAATAATATTTGAAAATAAGATTGAAGTTCGATTAAGATTTAAACAATCTTCTATTCATCATTGATTCTTATTAGGAATAAATTCCATCAATGATGTCAAAAAAAGAAAAGTTTGTTCTATGTTGAATCAAAATAAAGATATTAAAAAGAGTAACTGAAGAAAATTTTCTAAATATAGAATGAATAAATAAATTATTTCTTAGCAAGAAAAAAAAATATTTAGCAAAAAGAACAATGCCAATTTTTGTACTTATAATATCTCATTACAAGATACATTCTTCAAGTAATAAATAATCCCAAATTTGAAAAATGAATTACATTTTGAAATACGATCTTCTCATCTAAAATGTCTGATGAAAAAGAAATAGAGAAAGATTGAATTGAGTCAATTTAGACGACGAATTGATACTGACTCTCATAACATGAATAATATGATTTACAGTTTCAACAGAAGAAAAAAACCAAATAAATGAAGTTACCTACGGAACTTCAATATGAGTATTTAAAAGGTACTAGTAACTAATAAGATTTCACAGAGCTTTACTTTAACGCAATAATTGGAAATCAATGATCAGCTAGACTTTAACTGATCTTAAGTTTTTGACTATGATTGTGAAAATAATGCAAATCTATATTTATATCATAAAATGAGCAGAAAATTTGTATATTCTTATCAAGTCTACATTCAACATCTATTTCAATTGATTGATTACATTGATATTTTCATTATGAATATGTTTTTTCTTTTGTTTAATTCATTCTTTGTATTATAATTGAATGCAAAAAAATTTATATCATGCAAACTAGTGTTTTTGAACATTCGACTACCTAAATATCCTTTATTAGAAGTAGACAAAAAAACAAAAGTATGATACATACATACCAATATAACTAGATACGTCGATTAATAATAAATAAAGTTAACAAAAATCTTTCAGAAGATTATTTTTTTCATGATATTCCTATGCACTTATTTTATTAAATATAGGCTATATTTAATTTTATTATAATTATATAGTATAAAATTTCATTTAAAGTTGAAACAAATGTCTATTATGCATGCATGACAAAAATAAGTTTTTTTTTTTCATGTGAAAGTTTTTTTTTTTTTGTTTTAATTATATCTTCACATAAATATTAAAGTCCTGAAAGGAATAGGTAATCAAAACTTAGAGTTATTTTGTTGGCGCTTCCTTTATTTAATACTACATAAAATACTTTTTATTTAATATTCATCTTTGCATGTCAAGAAGACAAAACTCAAATTAGAACAAATTGGAAAAGGCAACTGTTGAACATAATAAAGATAAATCGTGGTTCTTTTTTTAGCAATGGCATAAAACATGAACTAATTCATCATATCTTGCCTATTAAGAATATATTTCGAAGATTCTTCTCATTCTATTTAAAAGAAAAAAACGCTTGAAAAAATTATTTTTATACAGTAAACAATTGTTTTTTCTTTCAATATCTTTTATTCAACGAATAATTTTAAATTAATTAGAATTTATTAGAATGTTATTAACACTAATACATATTAAGAATCCATTATTTTAATTACATTTCATACTTCCTTTATCTATTAAAGAATATTCCATAAAAAACGAGTATTAAAAACAAAAATAAATAATGGGTTTACATGCAACTGAGGATAATTTTAAAAACAATATTTCAAAAAACAGCTGTAAGCGCAATTCCTGTAGCATGAAAATGTGAAACATGAGATAGTTTCTGTTGCTAATCACATGGAGATTGTTTTATTCTATCTATTTTAGGACACATGTCTTCACCATTCTTCTCCAGAAATGTAATAAATAAGTAGTTCATTTATCATAACGAGACATTCTTGATACACGGTCTTTGAGATCATATATCAACAATGTCTACCATAATCTGTGAAACAACAGAGGGAGGACACTTTTAAGATGTCTGTCATGGTCTGTGACACTTCAGTGATTATGTCTATCACGTCTGTGATGGTCTGTGGCGAAGGTACAGGTTCCTATCCTATATACTTCAACACTTCTTTTAGATCGTGTTTCACAAAATCAAGTACACATAGTATTATAGAACCTGTGAAAATGGCAATGCTATGAAAAACTTTTCTTACAAATCATTTACACACTTTGTATTTTTATATTTTTAAGCTTAAATCAACAGCATAATTATATCTTTATTAAGTCGTTAAAAGTCATAGTTCTCAAACTCTTTTAGTTCTTAAAATATTATAAAAATGACTACGGTCAATTACTATCTTAATGAAACAAAGAAAACATTCAAATAAATATCTGATTGAAAAGTCTTTAATAATATTAAATACTAAAGATTCTTTTCTTCCTATTTCTTCAATATTATTTTTACCTTCATTGATTTTCGTTTTTCCAGTTTATTGAATTATCTTCAATTTCTTTGTCGTATCAACATTTATGTCATTCTAGAGATATTAATGATAAGAATTCTAAATTAGAAAATATATATTAAAATATATTATTCATATTTCATTCTCAGGATTTGTCGAAACTTTTTGTATTTTCGATTCATAAATAGAGCATTTGTGTTTGTTACTTATGGTTGAATTTGTTATATTTTTTTTAATGTTGATAAAATCAAAATAAAGTTCATGGCAATAAATGATAAGAAAATGAGCAAAATATTGAATATCATTTTGTTCAACGTATTCATTCATGCATAATTTATGGTGAGGATACTAGTTTTCTTGATTCAGTTGCATATTTATTTATTAATTGGTGAATTATTGAATTGATTAATTAATATAGTTGAAATGTATGATATTTTCTATAAATTTTACACGATATTTTTTTTTAAATTTGATTTTTGAAATTCTTTATTTCTCAATTTCCAAAATACATTTCAATTCAATACTGTCATTCAATTAGTAATGATATTTGATTGAAAAATAATGTTTGCCTTTTTATTACTTTCTTTTTTTATTTCTTTTTCAAATAAAATTTTTAAAAAGTTCAAAAGTTTATTTTTGACGAATGAAGATCAATATCAATTCTAGAAGATGCGAATAAAAGAAAAACAAATACAATTAACTTTGAAATAAAGAAATTTGACTTACTTATCATTATTTTTTCCGTAGATTAGTATCAATTATTAGTTCTTTAAAATCTTGTTCTTTCTTGTGCTCCTGAAATGAATGATATTGGTTGTTGTTGTTCCAAGTCGAATAAAACGGTCCGCGAATGACTCACAAACAGCAAAGAACAGCTACCATTTTGATAATCGATTACGATGCAGCTGCAAACGAAGACATAAAATGATAAACGACAACATTACGACCATCATTTACGTCTCAATAATAAGCGACCATTGTTCTAATCGCCGTTTTTACTCCGTTTTCAAGTTGTTTTTACATAAAATCAAAAAATGTATCTCATAAGTATTATTAGATACTTTCTAATGACGTTTAGTAGATAAATCTTAAAGATTTTATCTATCATTTCTAGTTGGATCAATTTTTAGTGTTTTGTAGAAATGTTTTACTGAGATTGACATGCACTTAACATTTTTTTTTTCTTAAGGTTCGTTCTTTCCATTTATATGATACCACAATTAGCTTTTTTGTACTAGTTTAAACATTGATGGATAGATTTTCTTGAGATCTATTTGACGATATGGCGTGAAGTCAACAAAAATGTTTTATATCATGCCACAAAATGATTGACATAATATTAATATTGAGTTATAGAGTACATTTATACGTCTTCGCATATTCTTCGTTCTATATTTTTTTTCCATAGATAAATTCTATAGATGATAGAACCTATACTTTTGTGTTCTAGATGTCTAGTAGAAAGTTATATCCAAGTTTCAATGATGATCTACATCGCATATGGAAACAATATTTCGTAAACATTTAAACCAGCAAAAAAACGACTGTAGTGAGTTATTTGTTAAAAAAAATACATCCTTGATATTATAGTTATCTTTATTAGTGAAATACTTTATCTAAAAACAAATGTTTAATGGTACTTTCACTTACAATAGGTATGATTATTACATCTCTATGCACCTCTTTTTCATACATCCACTTTGAATGTAGCTTATGATGATAAATCCGTATTGAATAATGCTATTTATATAATGAAATGCTTCATATTCTAATAGAAAGTAAACGCAGAATGCTGTCTAGGTTGCAATTCTAGCAATGAGAATCAGTTGTATACAACAAAGAACGATGTAAATACAATAATATATGATGAAAAGACGATCCTAATACGGTGTATCGTTTTTAACAGTAATCACGCTACTTATCTGCCGTTTTAAGCAATTTATAATGTCGTATCAGACAATCGAAATAATTAATCTAAGCTATAGACAAGCATAGTAAACTTATTAAAACAAAAGATGTTATTTGTCTGTATGGATTACATGACATGATGAGTGACATACATATTCATTCATTGTTTCATAAAATATTAATCCTTTTTTATATTAGATGTATCTTAAATTAGACCTGTGTATTGTCTATGGTTAAATCGATCAAATGTTATGTATATTAAAATTCAATAAAGTAAAATTTGAAGGAAAAAAGAAAAAGAATATTTATTTCAATTGCAGAACTAAATACTTAGGGCATACAAAAGTAGTGGTACTGGCACTATGAAATCGTATAAGAGGTTCAAGAAAATTCTTTTTTGCTATACATACTGATAGCCCAAATCGAACTCTATAATTCTACAATATTTCATCATTCTTTATGTGATATTATAATAGCAAAGTTTCGATGTGTTAATGTTTTTTTTTTAACTTTTCTGCTTGAGAATACACGATAGTTAACCACACATATGCAAAAAACAAACAAGACACGTGTCTTTACATATATAAAGACGGCTGGTTATCAGACAAGACAAATAAAAGAAGACAAGAGAAGTCCATATGAAAATCAAAAGAAGATAAACGTCTAATTAAGGGTTAGTTTCAAGTGATAAGACGTTTGCTAGTCCAGACTCTATGCATAAGTTAGATCCCTGTGAGATTTGAAATGTCTTAAAAGAACAAGTGCCCATAGACCTTTCCTTCTGAGTGAGATCTTGCCCACAGAATATTTCGAGAAATATTGAATTTTCATAAATCTAAGATTTTCACACTCTTCGCGGAAAATAATTCATTTTTTGGAAATTCAATGTTGTGTATTCTCAAGAAAAGTTTTAAAAAATTAGCAGCAAACTTTAACTTATCGAAACTTTGCTATTATAATATTACCTGAAAAATGATAAAATATTATAGAATTATAGAGCTCGATGTGGACTATCAGTATATGTAGCAAGAAAATTATCTCGAATCTTCTATAAGATTTTATAGTGTTGACACCACTACTTTTAGTATGTCTTAAATAATACATAAAATAAAATGAGTAATATAAGTTAGATTTTTTATGATACATATTGAAATCTTAATGCAACATTCAATTGATTTTTTTTTACTGGTCGTCTTGCACGTTTTTGTGCTTCACGTCGTTTTCGATAATTATCACGTTCATATTCAACTGGATCAATATGAAAAACATATTTAAGTACATCCATAACAATAACAAATGTACATGTTGTAACAATAGCTCCAATTGCAATCGATGCAAATGATTTACTTAACATTTCTTTAATTTTTAATGTACTTGTTTTAAATTGACAATAATCACCATAATAAAATGTTGTATCAAGACATAAACATTGCCACATTAATTCAACTGTTTGACAAATACCATTATTTTCACATGTAATATTTCCACATAAATCAACGGTTAGTTCACAATAAACACCATTATAACCTTCCATACATTCACATTTAAAATTTGTTCCATCAGTTGACGATATAGTTGAGTTAACTGATATACAAGTTCCATTATGCCTAGAGAGTAAAAAAAACAGAAAGCATTAAATTGGATTTTATGAATTGGAATTTCTTACCAACATGTGGTTTCCATGCATGCTCTATTATCATATTGACAATTATAACCTTCATAACCAGTTTGACAGTGACAATAATATCCATATGGTACAGAATTGTTTGGAAAACAAGTTGCTGCATTTTCACATGGTTGTGACACAGTACATGCATCAGAGGATATATTACAGTACGAACCTATGTAAGAATTATTCGGACAGCTATATATATTTTCGTTAGGTGTTGTTGTTGTCGTTATTGTTGTTGTTGTTGTTGTTGTTGTTGTTGATGATGATGATGATGAATGAATAGTTGCACTACTAGTAGTTGAAGTATGGATTGCATCAGTTATAGTTGTTATGGAAGTATACGTAGAGGCGACATCAGTAGTAGTTGTTGTTGTTGTCGATTGAGTTGTAGCTGTTGTCATGCTTATTGAAGTCTATTGATAAATGAAATTTTCCTGTTATTGCCAAAGGTATTTTCTGGGAAATTTAAGAATGAAACTAAAACTGCCATAAACGACTTTAGCGAAAAAGCAATCTTATACTAATATGAGATATGAGTCAATATAAAATGTCATAGCACAAAAATTATACAATACGTTCATAGATAATCGTCATGCTATTAAGTTTTATGATAATTTGTGATAAGTTAACTTATGATAATACATGTCAAATTACAAATAGTTGACTCACAGTTAGTAGTGTATTTATATGAAGTTCAAAAAAACTGAAGTGTGTCTACTCTAGAAAAGATATTAGAACTACGGAATAAAGTAGGTCAGTACCTGAAGCATCAAACATTTCTTTATATGTAATGTTACGTCTTTGTTTCATTACAATATTTATTAACTGACTAATTACTTAAATCGAATTATTTTATCAGAAGAGTAAAATATTCCAGTCTTCACTGGAACGCATTTAGAGCATACCAAAAGTAATGGAGGAGGTATTTTAATTTCTTATAAAAAGCTTAAAGAACTCTTTTTGTCTATATAGTCTGATAATAAAAACAATACTCTACATTTCTCTAATATTTGTTTATTCTTTAACTAATATAACAATAATAAAATTTCAATACAGAACTGTTTGTTATGATATATGACAGTAATATTAGATGACAATTTGTCTTCGATGTGTATCTTCTAATATCTAGCCGTTTATATATACTACGGTATACAAAAAGTGGTGACGATTGAACAAGAAACAAATATTGAAACAAGTTCATTAAGTTTTTACTTAATTAATACTTCGCATCTAGTACTATGTGATTTTTTTATGTCAAACAAAAATCAAAATGATTTCAAATCATTGCATCATATTGTAAACAAGTTCATGAATTCTTTTGATAAATATATTCAACAAATACAATTGAATATGAATAATCAGGAGGATTATTTCGAACATTTAATGAAATAAGTACTTAATGAATTTGTTTCTGTATTACTTTTTTGTTCTACTGACATCACTTTTTTGTATACTCTAATATGTACAGACGGCTAAGCATTAGAGGATACATATTGAAGAGAATGTATCATCTAATATTATCGTCACATATCATAATAAACAACTTTTATCGACAATGGATGGAGGACGTTTTGCCTTGATATCGGCCTCTATAGAAAACATAAACAGTTTCACATGAAACTTTCAGTAATTGTAGGACTCAGAATCACTAGTCATTCCTATAAGTTTCAGTTTGATCGGTCAAGCTTTTTCTTTACTTTGATACTCAGCCATATAGACCCTATTGGGTCTTCTATGGGTCAAAGAATCATTCATTTTAGATGATATATATGTATATATACATACTTTGACAGACGATTTACATCTCATTCGATAGAGAATTTAATTCTGAACAAAAATTGTATAGACACATTCGAATAAAAATCAAAGATTGACTACAAAAAACTCCGAATACTCTTAGTATGTGGTCATATACAGACTTTGTTGTAACCTTGTGTACCTTCGATCTTCACTATATGATTCAGAACCAGAGCCATTTTTCAGCATCAATACTAATCATCAAGAGCTACAAAAGTGCCCAAATAACAACTGTATGGTGTGTATTGTACGGGGAAGTATGATTCAATGTAAACTTTGATTCCAGAAAGATCACAGATACTAATGACGTATCTTTGGAATCTACCCATCAATCAAGCTGATGATAGGACACTCAATATTTCAAAATTCTGCTTTCGATGACTGATAATAGAAGAGGGAGTGTAGTATAAGCGTAAGAAATTGTTTGCGTAATATCTATGAATAAACAAGCAGCATGCGTGAATATTGCCGTTCTTTAGAGAGAATGAGAACAAGAAAGAAAAATAATTACTTTCCTACTGATTATGATAAGAGTCACTGTTAGCATTGACAGATGATACTATGTCACCGCCAACTTTTAAGTAAAGAGTCCTTTGTTCATTGATTTCCATTGTCCTCTTTCATATAGCCTGTTATCATCTTTTTTTCTGATATATGCATATAGTATTTTTCCTCATTTTTCTTAAATGGCTTTCTTTGTTATTCTAAGTGGTAACACTTTTGTTCAGTTTCACTATCTTCTTCTCTCTGTTTCATATGTACCTTTTTATGTTTTGTTCCACCTTTTTCTCGTTGAACTTACTCTTTCATATCCAATATTGTTTCTGTTATCTTCATCGTCACCTCACCATATGTATATTTCCAATAAACAAACTTATGAATCTTAAACTCATAATTGCATGCCCATATTATTAATAATCAATATTAAGGTAAGACGTACTTAGGTGAGATTTCTAGCCCTATACAGACTAAGGATTATACTAGTTATCTTTCTGCTTACGTATATCACGGGGCAGAAATAACTGGTAATAGCAGAAAATCTCACAGTCATTTACATAAAAATACTTATCGAATGTGTTTGTTGTAATGATCGTATTGATTCGAAGAATTATCATCAATTTGATGGGTCGGTGTGGATATGCAGGTATGGATGTGTGGGTGTGGATCTTCTCTTCTCGCACGCTCACACCCACACTCATACAGCCACAGCCACACACACCCATACCCTTTGCAGCTACTTATTCGAGCACTTTTGTAGCTCTTAATGATTAGTGTTGATGCTGAAAAAATGGCTCTGGTTCTGAATCATATAGTGAATATTGAAGGTACACAAGGTTACAACAAAGTCTGTATATGACCACATACTAAGAGTATTCGAAGTTTTTTGTAGTCAATCTTTGATTTTTATTCGAATGTGTCTATACAATTTTTGTTCAGAATTAAATTCTCTATCGAATGAGATGTAAATCGTCTGTCAAAGTATGTATATATACATATATATCATCTAAAATGAATGATTCTTTGACCCATAGAAGACTCAATAGGGTCTATATGGCTGAGTATCAAAGTAAGGAAAAAGCTTGACCGATCAAGCTCAAAACTTATAGGAATGACTAGTGATTCTGAGTCCTACAATTGCTGAAAGTTTCATGTGAAACTGTTTATATTTTCTATAGAGGCCGATATCAAGACAAAGCGTCCTCCCACTCTTTATTATTATCATATTAGTCAAAGAATGATCAAAAATAAGAGAAATGCACAGTATTGTTTTTACTATCAGACTATATAGAAAGAAAGTTTCTTTAAGAGAACTATCCCCTTTCCGACATGAAACCAAAACTTTTTTCAACTTTTGGTTTTTCATCGCTAATATAGCCTCGATGTATCCTCTGTAAAATGCCATATAAATGAGGAGTCTTCGTTGTTAGTTAGTACTTTTATTAAATCCAACTTTCAAACTCTCTATCAGAAAACTCGCGCTATGATTTGTTTATTCGATGTAAAACTTCTCTAATGATGATGATGATTATTTCTCATTCTAAAGGTACTTCGAACATTGATCATAGATCCCTAACACAACAGAATGCAGCCAGTTTTCTATCAATCTAGTTGGAGAAAAAAGTCCTAATACATACGAAAAAATTTTGCTTTTTGTTTTTCTCGAAATTAATTTTTACACAAAAAAAGTACAAAATCATCCCCATTTCTCCGATGCAATATGTTCGATCGAGCTGAAGCTTTTTTTATTACAGATACTAGACACTGTTTTGGGTACCTACATTTTTTTTATTTTGCAAAATATTATTCTGGTGATTTTTTTTGTAGATTTCACAAAAAAATCTCCAGTAAAAAAAAACATGTGTTTTTGGGGGTATGCTCCGTATGTTGATCTCTCCATTCGAATAAAAGAAGATAAGAAGAAATCGAAAAACGTAGGTACTCCAAACAGTGTCTAGTATATGTAGGAACAGTTTCAGCTCCATGGGACATATTTCGGCTGAGACAGCAGAGCGATTTTTAGCCTTTGCGTCCCTGATATTCCCTAGAAGAAAGCATTTGGAGATTTTGACTCTAAGACAAGTTTTACTCTACTCATTGAGATCTATCTACTCTGAAAGTTTCAAAATTTTCTGATGAGCCGTTCTTCAGAAACTCCGGAAAGGTGGAGGGTCCCTTAAGATTTTTATAAGGAATAAAAATATCTTCTCCACTAATTTTGGTATGCCTCCTAAGTAGATAAAACTCAAATATCGTTTAAGTTTATTAACTGTTTAAATATTTCATTCGAAATAAAATTTTTTTCAAAAATGTTATATTTTTATTTACTTCTGCTTGTTTATAAGTACTTGTCAATGTTGTTGTTTCTTGTGTTACTATTAAAGTACTTGTCGTATAAATAACTGTATCTGTAGTAATTTGACACATATTTTGGTCAAAGTCGACAGAAGTCATATTTAGACAATTGATGTCATCAACTTGTGTATAACCAGCTGGTGGTAAACAAGTAAATAATGATAAATTCATTATTGTTGGTACAGCACAATTGAATAGATTAAAATCTTGCCATTCAATAGTGAAATTATCAAATTGAGTTGTATTATTTGATGTACATAAAACAATATTCACTAAAATTGAGAATAAATAAATATTTTATGTTAGAATATTAGACTTACTATAAAAAATAAGAAAGACAAATATCATTGTTATTGTCGATATAATACCAGTTATTTCACATAAAAAAATTTTCTGATAATGAATGACAAGTTCTTTTTTTTTGCATTTTCTTTTTAAATACAAAAAAAAAAATAAATGATATGCTTCTCATTTCCTTTTCTTTTTCTTTTCTAGATTCATTTTCAATTTATATAAAAATACTTTTTACTTTAAGTGAACTAAAACAAAATTAAAAAAAAAAAAAGATTTTATTCAAAAATAATTAAATATCAAAAATAAAATTATTGTCATTTTCATTTCTTTGAAAGGTGAAAAAACTACCTTACCTTTTTTTTTTCATTTTTTTAAGAAGAAAATTAAACAACTACTATTAACGTTCTTTTTTTTATAATTGTCACTAAAGATATCACTCTTCATGAATAGATACTTAGAAATATAATTTTGATAATAAAAGCTTTTTTTTTTCATATATTCAAAAGGTGTAAATACATTCTATTAGTCTTGAATTACACTTGTATTATAGTGTGAATCTGTAATAATTTCAATGTTCAATTGAAAACATCAAATTTCATAGTCTAGTTTTATAACTGAACAACAGCTAGTAAAAAAAAGAAAATGTGAATATCAATTTTATTTTTTTATAACACTAAAAATGAATCATTCTGTGATGATGAAATGTCCTATTATTCTGAGAGAAATATAAATGACTATTTTACATATGTGTCGATACCAACAAATCATGAAAGCTTAAATTATTTTTTGTTTCACATGCAACATGGAATGTCTATTGCTTTTATATTAAAAAGATTTTTGACTTGTGTTAATGAATTTTGTACATGACAAAAAGTAAGGACACTCGTGATATCATTATTGCGCATCATAAAAACGGGGGAAAAGCTTCAGAAATCTGAAGTAATTAATCCTTTCGTTTGTTCATTTCGTCTTCTTTCGGGTGATTTGTGTACATTAATCGAGTTACTTTGATTCCATTGCTGTATCTGATGATGAACTGTAGCACGATGCACCTTATTAGCAAACATATTTGAGATTTCTGAAGCTTTCCCCCCCCCCCCCCCCCATTTTTATAATGGACAATAACGATATCACGAAAGTCTTTGCCTTTTCTCATTTAAAAAATTCATCAACACAATTCAAAGACTTTTGTAATGTAAAAGCGGTAGACATTTCACGAGGCATGTGAAAAAAAAACAATTTGTGTTTTTATAGTTTGTTGGTGCCGACATATGAAAAATAGTCATTAATATTTCTCTCAGAATAATGGGACATTTTACCATCACACAATACTTCATTTTTAGTCTTATAAAAATATCATCAAAAACTGACTCAATAGGATTTCTCATCACCATTCTTGTAGAGAATTTCACGGTTCGTCTTTTAAAGAAAAATCAAGATTATACGATTTATCTGTGCTGAGATATTTGCAAAATACTAGATGTTGCAATTATTATGATTCATCTGATATATGCATGTATAGCAGAAGTAATATACTACGTATATAAGAGTCAAATCATTTGTTAGCGACGTAAGTTTTCAAAATTAAAGCTTGTGTATATTGGGATAATGAACTTTCCTGATGCTAATTATTATGTGTTACATGTATATTAAGCAACTCTAGATATTTCAAAAAAATCAGTGCTAGAGATCTTTGTTCAAAGGAGTTATCAGTAAAAAGTTAACGTTACCGATGTGACACAAAAAGGGATGTTGACTTTCATTTCATACATTGTAGTTTAAAAGAAACTTCGAATTGAAGTAGTATTCTTGAAAACTAAATAGTATATTCTGCAGACAACTCCTACGGCTATTAAATCTCTATTTAAAGTGTTTTTCTGAGCATGTCTAGGTTTTTCAAAAAACAAACGAGTTACTTTTCGTTAGCGACGTGTCAGAGTAAAAATATATAAACGAAAAATTGCACTTATAACTGGATGAGAAGTTTGAAACCAATTCCAAATATTACAAATCCTTCTTCGAAATCTCTAGATGATCATAAGACAATAATGTTTGTTTCTGGATTTGACAGACTCTAGAAAATCAGTTTTTAAGACGAGATTTTTTTGAAGTCCGATTTTGCTGAAAATCTTACAATAGATACAGTTCACACCAAAGAATCTATCTTGAAATTTCGTAGTTTTTTCTCGTATGGTTAGAGAGATATTCACTAATTCATTTTTAATTAAAGGTCAGCTGGAAAAGCCCACATCTTTACATATGTCTATGCTAAAAGAACTTATTTAGAACAATAGCCGTTGTATAGAATCAATGTCAAATGAAAGGTGATTATGATCTGTGTTGCGTGAGATGGTTCACGTATATACTTGTTTAATACAAGATATGCTTGAATATAAAATACAATGAATAAATAGAAACTTGGATATTAACAAAAACACAGTGTGAAAAAAGCAACTTGGAATCACTGTCACAAATCGTAGTAGTTCCATTACGCAGACCAAGTCCCGCGAACTATTGAATCAATATTATAAAAAAATGTACTTCGAAAAGCAGTTCAGGTATGTTATTTTCTTGCAGTTTCTTATTTGCATCGTTCTGATTCGTAGAAAGAGTAATAAAGATTTTAATGAACTATTATCCAATCCATAATAAAAGACAGATCACCATTTTTCGAATAACTTTTGATAGGAACAAGATAGAGAGCTGCAGTTTTCATCATGCGAAAGAGTGATGTCCGGGCCATCGATCAATATAGAACTTATTAAGGCGAAAGATTTTTTTTTTATAGGTACCTTTGGATCAATACTTTTTCCTTTGAGTATTTTCACAATAATCTCAACCTAAATTATGTCAAAATGTAGTTCAAATCATTCTTTTTTTTTCCCTATAAAAATAACATTTGTCTTTTTTAAATCCACTTAGAATAAGAGGTTGAGAGATAACGAAATATGCGATCATTTTATAATGCAAAAAGGGTGATTTGAGCTACATTTTGACATAATTTGATTTGAGATTATTGTGAAAATATTCAAAGGAAAAAGTATTGATCCAAAAGTACCTATAAAAAAAAACATCTTTCATCTTAATGAGTTCTATACCGATCGATAACCTGGACATCGCCCTTTCAAATGGTGAAAACTGCAGCTCTCTATCTTGTTCCTATCAAAAGTTATTCGAAAAATAGTAATCTGTTTTTTATTTTGGATTGGATACTACATGTAGTGCAGTTAATTGTTATCTTATGAGTTTAGTATTAGATAAAGCAATCTTTTACAATATATCAAAAATTAAAGAAATATTTTATAGTGATAAATGTTAGAGATTAGTAGAGGTAATAGTTATGTCTATTCAAGTAGCAAAATGTTTCAGCACATTAAACATTACATTATTTCATGTATGAAAGACTCAGGAAAACAACATTCATGATTTATTGAAAAAGGTTTACTCATGACGATAAAAAATGAATAGTATAATACAGAAGAAGAAAACATTAAACATTAGTGTAATCATTGTAGTATTACACACAGGCAAGATGTCTGTCAAAATTGTCAATTTCCATTAAATTCTCATCATTCTTCACGAACTTATAATGACAATAACATACGGTCTTTTTTGCCATTTTTTTTTATTAGTACCCAAGTTTCTATTTATTATTTGTATTTTATATTCAAACATTTCTCGTATTAAACAAGTACATGAACATAGTACTTAACCTCTGCTATACAGTTATAGATTTATATTGTATTCTAAATATTGAAATTCGAAAAAATGTGTTTTTTAGACTAGATTATATTGATATAATAATCAAAATATCCGCCGCAACACATGAATCTTATTCATTAGTGTCTATTCTAAACCTTTTTTTTTATGTATTAATTTCTATTTAGACATAATTAACAAACATATTGCAGTATCACTGCTATATTGTTTTTTGTTGTATAAAGTTAGAAAGAAACTTTTCTTATGTTTTGTATATAACTATTTCTTTATTTCGTAATATAAAATAACTAAACTCTTTTATTTTATTATTTTACAAAGATAAAAGTTTTGCTTTTTTTTAAATACTCATTCTACACTCTGAGTTATATAAAAAATGAATTATAATTGTTGTCTAAATACATTTTATTCTACGTACATTTTCCTTTATCATACTCAAATGATATTACGAAGTTACGGGATCAAAATAGAAAATATTAATATGATACGCTAAATCGCAGCTTAAAGTATGTTGATCTCTAATCATAGATTTCACTGTTCTAGTCTCGTTAATTGCATTATCTAAAACGTTAATGTAAATAATAACGCTTGTTCAGTTTATATACTTTCGATAAGAGCAAACCATTAGACGATCTTTATAGAATATTTTATAAGTCTTTAGACGGAACAAAATTAGTTTATATGTAGGCTGTGAATAATCTCTAATCGAATGTTTTTTATATGAGCATTGAATACTCGTGTGTAGTCTTTCAAATGATATATTATTAAAAAATAAACGAAAAACAGTCTTATTTTAATCTGATTACACAAAAATCTCGTTTAACTACCATCACGTATTTGTTGTCCGTCACTTTTTTATGCATTCATCAAGTCTCTTAGAAGTCTTATCAATCCTGACAAATTACTTATTTTTTTTTTGTTTCATGCTTTTGTTCAATTTCGTTTTTAGTTATTTAAAACTTAAAAATTGTTCTTCTTTCATATTCCACACACATCAGCAAATTTAGCGTCATCTTCTCGAAGTAAAACTTGATTATGAAATAATTTCTCAATAGTTCAAAATACAATCTTTATTTTTTTGTTTTTCATTTTGTACACGCCGTTTTCATATATTTTACCCATTTCAATGTGATTACTGAGTATATAGCTTGTCTAAACATGTAATCAGTAGATTGTGATGAGTGCCGAATTAACGAATAAGATAAATAATTATTGATTTCTACGTCTCACAGACCTTATCAGACGTTGTTAATATACGGTCACAGATCGTATATCAATAAAGTATTGCTATAATCCATGAATTACTTTCTTATTGAATTTCTGAAAGATTAAACAAAAGGATAGTGAAGATATATCTCCCAAAACAGATAGAATAAAACACGAATACTCAAGACTCATAAAAACATTTGACTAATGATTATTTTTCTATCTGTATATATACTAATTTTCTCGTATCTCAACACTTATGAAACTCTCCATATGGCTTTATTACTTTCTTTCTAGTTATCAATTTTATTACTTGTTATTTACTGTTTCCTTCTTTCTTATTGCTTTTTACTATTTATCAATAATAGGTAATACTATTTTTTTTTAGTTATCATTTGTTATCGGTAATCATAATTTAGAAATTCAATAATAAATAGTGATATTAAATAATTCCTGATTTCAGATAGATATTTGTATTTGCAAAATATATCCTATTGGATTGTTAGCTTACATTCATTTGCAATAGGAAGATGATCAAATAGTAGCTACTTTCCTATGTTAATATACCGCATAGTTATGTGATAAATAGGAAGTTTTTTTTTTGTGAACAGGTATAGTAATTAAACTAATTTGAAAAATGTGGATAAATATGAGAAATAACGCACAATGATAAATATTGATATTATCAAATAACAAAAAAAAACAATTGAAATTGATTATTCAAATGATAGAAGTATTTTCGTTATTATTTCTTAATTCTCAATCATATTTTAAGATCCATATTACATTCAGAGTTTTAATTATTGCTTTCAATTCATTAACTTAATAAAACTTGAATTAGATAATCATTATATAATTGTATATTTTTATTCAAAATTTATTCTTTAAATAGATTTATAAAAGTGCATTTTATATTTTATAATAAATCAAAAATTTTATTAATTGTATCAAGAAAGACATTTTTGATATATTCATTTATATTCAGACATGTTTTAAATATGTTTTCCATTCTGAATGTAAAGCAATATTTTATCTTGTATTTGTTTTTAATTATATGAAGAAAATATGTCAGAGTGTCCCATGAGGAAAATAAAACCATAAAATGTAGTGTTTCTAGCAAATAAATAGATACAAATAAGGAAACAATTAGCGAATTAATATTGTTTTTTTTTTTACTAAATAAGATACGTTAATCTTTATAAGAACTAGAATGAATCGAGTCACCTTAAGAATACGAAGAAAAGACTAAAAAATATTAAAATATTTTTTTAATCTCTTTTACATTTTGTAATATCAAAGATCTTGACATTACATGAAAATATTTCCTGTCAGAACATAGCTTTTAATCGATCAATATAAAGCAAGGTCAGAATGCCATCTAATGGAGTTATTAGTTGTTGCAACCAGAAGTCAAGAAGATATAATAAACATGTCACTCTACAAGTAAATCCATTAAACTATGCTGACAGATAGTGTCTATTGCGAAGCTTTCTGTTTTTTTTCAGCAACAAAACACATCACGTAACAAGAGAATATAGAACGAGTACACTATAAAAACAATGAGTTACATGAGTCAATATAAAGTTCAAATAGATTAGACAAGGATCATATTTCTAGAAATGACTTTGAATTGATTTTTTTCATTAAAGTTAATATTGATCTTTTAGACAATCTAATATTTCTTTTAACAAATATAATTATGTTATAATTTAATTTTCATGAGCTGTATTTTCACAAGACTGATTATCAAAAATGAATACAACAGAAAGATATAATTATAATATCGAAATGTGCGATGAAGTTTAAAAAAACAAGTAATACGAGTTCGTCATAAACAAAAAAATCATTTGTTGGTACGCAAAATAATCTTGTTCATATGATCATATTATTGATCTAACATTTGTTGTACAAATTAATGAAGAACTACATGCTAACGATTTATATAAAGAGGTAAGACAGATCTCAACAATAAATGAACATATATTATCTTGAGATTTCACAATTAAATAAAACATAATAATAATCGTTATATTTATTTTAAATAAAATAAAATAAAATAATACAGTTTTCTTTCTATTGTAAACTTTATATTATTTTTTTTTTAATTTAATTATAAAATCTCAATTTAATATACGTTCATGAATTTTTTTTATGTAATTATAACAGTTACTTATGACTTGGATTTTATTTCATGAGAACCATAGTTTATTAGTTTAGGATTTGATTGTGATTTTGATTTTATCTAGATAGTTAATTTAACATTTCCAATAACATGCTGATGATGATTGATATGGAAGATTAGTAAAGGTCGAAATATTCGATATTTATTTATATTCAATAAAGAAATCAAATAAAACAAAACTATTTTTTCTGCTGCGAAATTTATATTATTATTTTTTACATCGTAAAGATATGCTTTAAGGACGAGAATTTGACAATAATAATGGCAAAAATGTTGACCTATGCCTCCATATTGTCTGAGTCTTTAATTTTCCATGACTGAAACACAAATACGATTGATTTCATCAGTAGATAATGAAACTTCAGCATAAATGTTACCATTGTTCCATGTTGGAATAGTTATTTAAGGGAATTCCCTCGCTTCTCCTTGCCGTGCTTTCTGAATAACGGCTCAACAGAAATATTTGACATTTTCAGAGTAGATAGACCTTGATGAGTAGAGCAAAAATTGTCATACACTCTAAATTTCCAAAGACTTTCTTAGAGGAAATATCTGGCTCGCAAAGACTAAAAATAGCTCCATTTTCTCAGCCACAATATGCCCGATAGAGCTAAAATATGTTTTTTTACAGATATTAGACACCATTTGGAGTGCGTACTTTTCTTTTTATCTTCTTCCATTCGAATAAAATGATCAAAATACTCAGCGTATCTCCAAAAATACATGTCTTTTTTTGTAAAATCTACCAAAAATCAACGGTACAATATTTTCAAAACAAGAAATAGTAGACACTACAAACAGTGTCTAATATCTGTAAAACAAAAGTTTCAGTCCGATTGAACGTATTATGTTCGAGAAACAGGAGCGATTTTGCATTATTTCTGTGTAAAAATTGATTTTGAGAAAAACAAACAACAATTTTCCCTGCATATACATCAACTCTTCTTTTCTCCAATTAAAGTGATCGAAAATTAACGGTGTTCAATGGTGGATGATCCATGCTCTTAGTAATTTTGGATTAATATCCTTAAGGAAATTTTTCAAATGAAGAATAATCACAGTACGAGTTTTTCTGCTACAGATTTCGAGAGTTGTGCTTAATAAAATTTCTGAAGTCCTCATTTATACAACATTTGACATAGGATATTTCGAAGCTATATTATCGATGAGAAAACCGCAAATTGAAAAAATTTTGATTTTAATATCGCGAAACGAATCTTCTCAAAAGAGAAACCATTGTGTCATTATTTTACAATGTTGAACTATTAGCTCACAGTTCTATCAATGAAAACTAACAGTTTATAGCATTCTAGACATGATACTATATCAAACAAAAATGACCCAAACATGTTAACTGATGAAATATTGTTTATTTCAAAGAAAAGTTACGAATCAATCTAACAACAGCCCATTACTTTATTATGATTTAACTATTATTTATCTATTGTATGATTAATATCCGAAATATATAAATTTATAGTACAAATAGATTTTAATTTTAAGAATTTTTTAAAATATTTGATTTTCGAGAAATGATAATTTTTATCAATATTTTTTGGCAGAGACTTCAAGTATAGTTTCATATTTAAAACTTGAACAAGAAGCACAACTTTTTTTTTTTTATAATGTAAATGTATTTTTTCAAATTCGAACTGGTGTAAACACTACATTTTTTTTATTCGTTATACTTTTTCGTCTCTATTTTATACCATATAAAATCCTTTCTAAAGAAATGGCTAGAAATTCTACGCTTTTTTTGTCTTTTGATTGAATGATCACATGCATTTTTATGACTAGAACAAATTTTTCTTTCTTGCATGAAAATCTCTCCACCTACTCTTCGGGTTACTACACATTCGATTAGATGAATGATGTACGCCTACTAATTCTTTTTTAATATTTTATAAAACAAGTAAAGCAAAAAAAGGTAAGAACACTTGACAAACAATCAGTTATTCATTCAGTGTCTTAGTCAAAAGAAAAAAAATAATAGTCTTTGCCATATTCAATATAGGAATATAAGGCTTTTAAAGTAATTAAATGCGAAAAACAAAATATACTTCTACAGTAGAAAATCTATTGATGTAGTTGTTTGATCTTAGATCTAAGAAAACGGCACCATAAACGATCAAAGACGGCAAAAATTGTCGTCATGACTTTACTGTTTGTGGCGGTCGCGATCATTATTCTAGGATATTATTTTCAAAAGGTATCATTTGTTTTTAATCTCATCTTACAAAGAGTATTATTTTTTTTTAGATTAAAAAACAAAAATCAAATGAATTTCATTAGACTACATATAGAATATCGGCATTATAATAATAATAATAATAGAAAATAACATTATGCTAAAAGTTTGTTGAAAAAAATAAGTAAGTTCAAGTACGTATAGTCTTTTTTACTCAAATTGAGAATCATTTGTAGGGAAAAGTGTATCATTTGTTTTTGAATTAGAAATAGTATGTTAGGAATTACGTTTTAATTATAATCTCTCTCATATGCAAAAATATCGATATGTACGAATCTAGGGAAGGTCGTTCTGACCTACTTTTTATGTCACGTCTACGAAAATTTTGAGCTGTTATCGAAAAAAAAATGTCTGTCAAATTTTTGTCTTATCTTATTACTAAAAACTATCGAGAACCATGCTCATATTGTATGTTAAGAAACGCCAAAAAAAAAACTTAATCTTTCTTTCGTTTATAAAACTTTTCGTTTTCTCTTCTTATAAAATTTACAAGAAAACATTTAATAACATCAAATTCAATAAGAAATAATATACAACACTACTAAATAATAGATAAATATAAATATTATTCAAAACAACTTCATAGACAACTAAGGACACCTAGTGATTACTCTCTGTATTATATATATGAAACGACTATAACATGAACTAACTTATGTACTAGAGTTTGTCTCACGCCAACAAACAACGTACGTTTACTTCACACAATCGATGTACATACTATATCTCATTTTATACATTGGTTCATCAATAAATACTACTAGCGCCATCTATTATTCATCTTTTATATTTCCATATTTTTAAACTGATAAAAACAAAGTGTTGGCTATTTTTTTCAATAATCAGTCTAATAGATTGATAGTTAATAAAAAAATTTTATCCAATCATATTTAAGTGAAACAAAGACACATCATCATATGGTTGTATCGTAAGTTAAGAATAAATGAATAAGCAAGTGTAATTATTGTCAAGTGTTAAGTTTATGAAAATTTTTAATCATAGAAAATGTGGGGTTCATTTTTTTCTGGTGGAAAAGATCCATTAAAAGATCTCGGATATGAGATACTTCCTGAGAGTCAACAAACAACAAATAATCCACGTTCAATTTGGACAATATTAAATGGAAAGAAAAAAGTAGATTAATATCTTTTGCTTTATTTTTTAATCTATGATCATTTTTCTTTTTTTCTATTGATAGACAACAGGAGATTTAGTAACAATATTTTCTTGTCAAAATGATGCTCATGTAAGTTAATTATTTTATTTTCATGTCTATGTAAATTTTATTGAAACAAAAACAAAAATATTGTCATTATAGATTCAATTAGCAAAAGCAGCATTGAAGCGTATGAAAACATTAAGACATCCTAATATTCTTATTTATCTTGATAGTGTTGAAGTAAGATTATTAAATTGGAAATTTTATTTATGTAAATCGTGTTATTTATTTCTAGACAGATAAATCTGTTTATGTTGTAACAGAAAAAGCAGTAACACTTGAAACATATTTAAATGAATTAAAATCAAATAATAATGTAACAGATTTTAATAGTGAACATTTACTTGAAATAGCCTGGGGTTTACAACAATTATGTGTAAAAAAATTAATTAAAATATGTTTTTTTTTCTTTGAAAAAATTTTGTTCTTTTTTTTTTTTTAGCGTGTTTTAATATTTCTTCATGACGATTGTAAATTATCACATGGAAATATTAATACAGATACAATATTTGTTGATGCTAAATCATGTGATTGGAAATTAGGATGTTTAGAATTTGTACAATCAATTAATGAAGCTCAAATTAATCTTCCATCGAGATTTTTACCTGCTTGTCAACGTTATGAACCACCATCGAAGAAAGGTGGAGATAGTCAAAAGTAAGAATTTTTTTCTTCAAATATAAAAAATAATCTAAAGATTCAAAAAATCATCTATGCATAACTAGAGTCAGACTTCTTAGTCGTCATATATATTCCAAAAAAATTCAGAGTTCTTTTAAAGTGGTGTACATTTTTTTGATAAGAGACAAGAATAATTATTCATGCATAACTTGTTCTGTCAACAGCGATAGAAATAAGACCTACTGGTAGTATATATTGATATTTTTCAGTTCATTATCATATTTATTGCTATGATTCATTTGTGGTTTTTTTTGGAGGATTTCTTTATGATGATGATTGATCTATTGAAAGATTCACAAGGAATTAAGTATACTGTTACGTTATTAATTAGAACTATTAAATCAAATGCTTCTCTGCCCGAATGTATGTGTATCGCCAGTCAATATCTTGCGTCATAATTGTCTTTGAAATAGAAAGTCAAAATACAGTGGGTATAGAAATTATTCAACAAGATTTATTTTCTGTTGTCATAAACGATAGAAAAATTTCGAATAGAAAAAATTGTTTTCAAAAAGAATATAAGAAAATAAAAATTATTATCAGATTTTCAAAGATAAGAATTTCAGAAAATCAAGGACCTAGTTTTTTAGTGTTTCGAACATCTAAATATAATTCTATTTAGATTATATAGAACACTAGAGTAAATCATTCTCTATAAAATGAGATGTCGCCGAGTTCTGTGCAACGTTCTTTTGGCCGAAATACAGTAATTTGATTGAAGGTCAAAAAGTTGCTTTTCTATAGGAAATTAGAAAAAAAAAAGGCTCCAGGAGCTTTCGTCAAATTACTGCATCTCGGCTAAAAAAAAAGCCTGTTAGCGAAATCTCTGCGGTTTTAATAAAAGCAATGGACAGTGTAGTTGCTGTTACTAATTACAGACGATCGTTGAGACACATTTCTTTGCCATGGTTTTACTTAATCGTTCAGAAATATAATAGAGAAGTAATAATATATTGTAACGATCTGTTATCGATATGAGATTTGTGACCGTAAATCAACAACACATGTCATGGTATATGATGATCTCTAGCTAGCGTCTGTCACGTTCTCTGATGATTTTTGGTCAGCAACTGTCATTGACTGTTGGCGGAGGTGCAAATATCTATCCTATATACTTCAACACTTCTTTTATATCATTTTTCATAAAAATATTGCATAGAAAATTCGATGATATTTCATTTTGTAGAGAATTATTTGCTCTATCGTTCTAGATCATGTAAACAAGACTTGATTTATATGTTGTAGATGTTAGTTTTCTGGAGTCTCTATCTTTGAAAATCTGATAATAGTTTTTATTCCATTATATTTCTTTTGAAAATAATTTTCTCTATTCGAATCATTATTTAAATTTTTGCTATCGCTTACGGTAACCTTGTTGAATAATTTTGATACTTAATGTATATTCCTCCAATCGTTGACTTTATATTTCGATATTTGAAAGTTATAAAATGTTATTCGAGTGTTAGCAAAGACCTTCATCCAGTGAACTGTTACTTCCGCAAAAGAGAATTTCACATTCTTTGAGAGATAAAACCAAAGAAAGTGAAATAAAAAGTAGACGCTAGGCGTGCACATATCTCATATTAAAGACAACTGATATTATTGTTAACCAGTACAAATGATTAAAGGACCTATCATAATAATTGCGTTTGCTACATCTAATAATTATAATACTGATGTTTCGACACATGTTATTTGCAATGTCAATAATAAAACAAACGATCACAGTACTGCGTTATTTTCATAAGATTTTTTTTTACTCAATTGTAAAATTGAACTATTGTCATGTAGTCAGCGAGATTTATTAAAAAAATTTAATAATTGAAAGTTGAAAGTGTCCATGCCGGAATTCATATTCCTAGGTTTTATTAGGATATTATCTAGTTTAAATTGATAAGAAATATTTTGTTAAACAACGATAAAAAAGAAAAACACAGTTGCTTCAACAATCTCTACCAATTGAAAAAGATATCTCCTTCTATCATATATTGTTGATATTTATTTATTATTGAAGCTTTTAGGTTTATCACATAATAATTATATTAAAAAAAAAAGAACAGATAATTCAAGCTGATGAAAAAAAATTAACCAACTATTTTTCTTCTTTATTAAGCTTCCTAGTTTGTGTTTGTTTTACAGTTGTCTTCGTAGATGTGTTAATAAGCTCCTGTCAATCAATCATATAGAAGCTATGATTTACTTGAACTTGTACTCTTATAGACTTTATCTCGTAATTTGAGACATAGATTATACATGATTTTACGCATTACTATAGTTTTGCTCAAATCCTTTAAAAAAGTGTTTTTTTTTTCTAAAACAAAGGTTTGTCCTATAGATTCGCCAAAGATCGCTCTGCTCGAGTTCAGATTTATAGAGTTTACTCGTATGCATCTATGCATCGCATAGAAGAAGAACTATTGTCTATATGTAGCTTTTTTAATATAGAAAATTCTCTAATAAAGTTTTTCTTTTATCATTCAATAGATCTCTTCTTCAACATGCATACGATTTGTTTTACTTTGTTATGTCCTCTAAATTTGGACAGTGTCAAAGTATTCCGTCTGTTTGCATAGTGCTGATTAGGTTAACCTTTTTGTTTTTGTTTTTTTTCTAATACATATAATAAACTATTAAATCACAAGATGCAATAGAACTATCAAAGACTTACTATTCAAGTTTCAATTTTCAATCATCTATGTTTTCGCAGTACCTATATCAAGAGAATAGATATACTTATTTGAAAGTTGAAACTTGAGTTTAAGTTTTGATATATACATATATATATGGATTCCATCTAATTTGTTTGGCCTGCACTTTTCGGATGAAATCATACTGTATGATTCTTCAGGATTTTCAATAGCGTTGCACATCTGGTTTTCTTCTATCATCTTGTTTTCTTAAGAAAGTCTTTTATTTTTACTCGCATATGTATATTTATTTATATAAAATATAAAAACACAAATATGAGCTTTACAAAATAAAAGTTTTTGTTGAATTTAATAAGTAATTTAAATAAAAGAAAACCCACTTCTATTGAATCGAATTAATTAAATTATTTATGGAGTGTTTATCTTAGCACATAAGCACTACTACATAGAAGATCTATTTTCCATGCTAATAAGAAAAAGTAGTGTAATATATTTAATCGTTTAAATATTCAAAAACAAATTAACTATCATTATCACAACTAATTATGTAAATGAGATCTAAAATTATAATCTTATAAGATTTACAGTGATATCTTATGGTCACATGAAATATTAAAACATACAACATCCGATTGTTAGTAAAATTTTTCCACCTGAGTAATAGCCTTGTTTCTCTCTTGGTGGTTTTCTTTTTATGTAATATAGAAAATTATTTATTTTATCTTAACAATAGGGAATTTTTCTTTAGTGACAGATTTTACGCATCTACTGCCTTGCTTGTTCAAACATTAATTTTACTATTAATAAAACTAGTAGATACAGGAAAACCTACAGTGATGATTAGTTTTATGTTAATAAACAATAATGACATAGAAAAACTTTAATTGATACTGTTAGTCTTAACGTTGCATTTCTATCAGTGACGGAAAGAAATTTTTGAATCTGAATCTTCAAGTCATTCTGAAGAATCGATGGTTTTTTTTTATTAGTTATTTTTATTCTGCTAACAATATACTATAGACATATCTCAGCCAATCTTGATTATAGTTTTATAATAATCAAATTATTATCGACTGCTACTCTTAGAGTATAATCAATTGAATCTATCGGATCCGAAATCAATCCGACGATCTCTAGTATAGTATCACGGCGATCTTATTTCTTGATCAGAACGAGCAATTATATAGATCTGTTACTAGAACAATGGATTTATATGTTCTCTATATCATTTTTTTTCTGATATTATATCCATTTGGCGCACATATTTATCAACGTTTTATGTGAGATAACTATTTCAGTATACACTAATAGAAAGATGTCTTATAAGGCTTCAGACGCGACAAAATTAGTTTATATACAGATATAGAATAACCTTTAACCGTATGTTCTTTTTTACATGAGTCTTGAGTACTTGTATGTTATCTTTCAAATGATATATTATTGCATAGTATCTTTTTTTGTTGTAATAAAAGTATAAACATGAGAATAGATTTTTCGCAACCGATCAAAAACAAAAATATATTTTATTTAGAAAAATACGAAAACACTCTTATATTAATCTGATTAGACATAAGTCTTATTTAATTATCATATATTTCTTGTCTATGACTTTTTATGAATTCAACAAGTCTCTAGACAAATTTTATCAATCATTACTAGTTATTTAAGACTCGAAAATTATTTCCCTTTCATATTGCACATACATCAGCAAATTTAGCAGCATCTTTATCGAAGTAGAACTCTATTATTAAATAATTCTTCAATAGTTCAAAATACAATCTACGTTTTTCGTTTTGCATGAAATGTTTTCGTATATTTTATCCATTTCAATCTGGTTACTGAGTACATAGCTTGATTGGACATGAAACTAGTAGGTCATAATGAATGTCTATTCTCATAGTTATATTTTTAATATGACAAGTGAAGATATTATCCAATCATATGTTATGTAAAAGTCTGCACATATCTATTCAAGGTTCGTATAAAAATATTTAGTTAAGGGTTCTTTTCTGTCTGCATATAGATTAATTTTATCACGCTTCAACACATATGAAAGACCTTGGATGTCAGCATTTTTTATGAGATAAATATTTCAGTGCGCACTAAGATATCGAAGAAATAATCATCATGCAAAAAAAAAATGAATAGATAAAATACAAAATATGTTTGTTTTTTTCAGAGCACGTGATATTTGGCTTGTTGGAACATTGATATGGGAAATATTTAATGGTAATGGTGCTACATCAGCTACATCCTATCGTCAGTTAGGTTCAATACCCCGTCCATTGTCAGCTGCTTATGGTGAATTAATAAATCCAAATCCATCACTTCGTTCGTCTCTGGATAAATTACTTCAATCTCCATTTATTCAAAATAATTCTTTGGTTGAATGTCTTCTCTTTCTTGAACAAATTCAAGTTTGTTTGATTTGTTTTTTTTTTCATTTTCAGTTAAATATATTTGCTGGAGTTTTTTTTTTCAGTTAAAAGATCCCGGCGAAAAACAAACATTTTTTACTTCATTATCCGACAAAGTAGATCAATTTCCTTCACATATTAATGAACGTAAATTATTACCACTATTATTTAATGCATATGAATTTGGTTCATCGGGTTCAGCTGTTCTACCAACTTTATTTAAATTGGGCAAACGACTTTCTGATAATGATTATAAAAAACGTATTGTTCCTATTATAACTAAATTATTTGCTTCAACTGATCGTATGACACGTTTTCGTCTTTTACAACAAGTAAATATATTTCTTGGTTTTCTTTATTTTGTTTTTTTTAATCATCTATTATTATTTATAGTTAGATAGTTATGTTGAACATCTAACACCAGCTGTTGTTAATGATGATATATTTACAAATATTTGTACCGGTTTTACTGATCAAGAACCAGCTATTCGAGAAGCGACTGTTAAAGTATGTTGTCATATTTTAAATTATTTTATTTATTTGATGAGATAATCGAATGAATATGAAAGTGAAGTTAATTTTTGAAAATATTTAATCTTAATCTTGACATAAGAAGCTTTAATATAGTTCAGACTTATATTACACAATGAATAATTTCTATAGACCATGTTTTCTAAGAGATATATTAGTTTCTATTACTCAGAATAAATGACAAACTATACATTCATTCAATGCAGTTTTGGGGTACTGATTCCGAATATATCATTGATTTTTTCAAGCCAAAGAAAACTTGATTTTACCCAAAAACAAAGGAATATTCTTAGAAAATTTTAAATTAAAATATGCATGTAGCACTCATTTTACTCATACATTGTGCGACAAATATCTACTCGACATCATGGCAATTTATAATATGTATTGGTTTCGTAGTGAAGAGAGACTATGTTAAATTTTCAACTCTATATCATGATGTTTTTGGAAGATATTGAACAAACAAAAGTGAAAGAATAGTTCATGTGAGAACGTAAAATTTTCTGTAGGCACTTATGCTATATATTTAATGCCTTTTTTTCTTAATACACAAAGAACATATCAGACTGCAATGCCCTTATAAAATATTTACTTCTTATTCGGAGACAAAGGACGAGCAATTCAATGCTTTAAAATATAGAATTTGTTTTTTTCTTTTTATGCAATAATAAAAAAGTTTAATTCAAAAAATGGACTCTGTCATGCACGGGAATTACATATTCTTTTTTTAAAAAAAAGAAAAGCATCAAAGATTTTCCGCTTTTTCTTTTAGAAAAAAAGAATATTTTTCAAGCATAAGATAATGAAAGTCATCAAATAGAAAATCATATCATTTATGAAAGATCAGCCGTCATGCTATTTTCCTATACATTTACTTCAATTTAGTTTTTTTTTGCTGATGAAAATTGACTTTTCTTTTTTGAGAACTGTGAAAATGTTTATATGCCATAAAATAGTCCATGATTCGATATATATATAGTACTATTTGAATTTTAGAACAGTACATATTCCGATTTTTCACATGATTGTCAAATATTTAATGACTTCATTCTGTTTATCATATCTATAAAAAGTTAGTAAAATTAATAAAATAATGAGAATCGATTACATTTAATTTGATGCTTCTTACACATTAGAAACGGAATAATTTTCAAAGAAATTTTTTGATGTACTTCAAAAGAATATATAAATAGTTGTTGATTTTATACAATAAAAATAAACATAATATCTAATAGAAAACCTTAATTTCTTCTTTTAATATTGATGAAAGTATTCATCTGTTAATATCTTTAATTAATAACGACAAAACTAAATCAAACGAAAGAATTTAATTTGCTTTCTATTCTAAGTTAATATTCAAATTGAACATTTTTTTTTTTTATTAGTTAGTTTTTTATATTAAAAGAAAAATACTATGTCATACAGATAGTTATAATAAATGTTATTTTTATTATTTTAGGCAATGTTATATTTAACACCAAAATTAAATTATAAAAATTTAAATATAGAATTAATGAAACATTTTTCACGTTTACAAACAAGTGATGATCAAGGTGTTATACGAACAAATACAATTGTATGTCTTGGAAAAATAGCTGCACATCTTAATCCAAGTGTAAGATACAAATTTTTTTTCTTGTAAGATGCATATGACATAAAATTCGAGTGAATTTTATTTTTCATTGATTTATATATATATATATGATTTGATAGAACTGATGATGAATATATAATTTTTATTTCAAATTGGTTAATATTTTATTGCAAAAGAGATAGTTAATAAAGTTTTCTCTCTAATGCATTCTATAACAAGATTTCATAAGCAAAATATGAAGGATCACTGCATTTTCTACAACTTTCCCTTATAAAGTTAGAAGTATCACAACAAAATCCTTTTTTTCGGATTATGTGATACTTTTAACTTCTTAAGGGAGGATCATAGAAAAGACAGCGATTCGTCATTTTGTGCTCTTTAAAATAGCTTTGTTAAAAAATAGTCTTTGAGGATCTGAAAACTACCATATCCAGTTTTTAATAAAACTTGCCATAGAATGCATTAGATAGAAAACTCCGGTAACGACGTAAATGACTATCTAGATTTGAGTTTGGTGCTTAATATAGTAGAAAAAAAATCAAAAATAAATTATTATTAAACTTTTAAATATCCTGTTTATTTTGTTTTTAAATTGACGAGGGTGACTGTTCAGTTGATCCTTTACGATTTCAATGATTCTTTTGTCTATAGATACTACATAGTGTTCTAATAAAAATCCTAACAAGATTTAACTAAGCTATTAAATTTTGATATGAAACTTTGTGTATATAGATAATTCAACTAGACTAGCTTCTATAAAAAAAATTCAGAATTTTTAAATAAAATTTCGTAGAGATATGAGACTTTTAAGATATAGACCCGTTTCCATGGATAATATATACAATATTTGAAAGCTTCATATCTCGAAGAGATTTTGTTTAAAAACTTGTAAATTTTTTTCTTGGAAGTTAGTCTAGTTAAGTTTTCTGTATGCATAATGTTTCAGATCATTAGTCAAATCTCAATAGAAACTCAAATCCTCTTAGAATTTTTATTAGAACACTAGATAGTATCTATAGACAAAAAGAGCATTGAAATCAGAAGGGGATAACTGAAGAGGTATGGGTACGGTTGAGGTCCTCTTTCAAATATGCACACCCTTAAAAGTTATATCTATAGCCTTATCCGTATTGGGAACTTTTTTGCAATGAAAGAATAGTCTAATTATAATAAAAGTATATATCCGTAATCAACTATATCAAATCATATATAAATAAAATCCACTTGAATTTTACATTATATGAATCTTATTACAACAAATTGAAAAAAAAACGAATTATTTTTTATTTATATTTAGATACGTGGTCGTCTTCTTATATCTGCATTTGGTCGTGGTACACAAGATCCATTTGGACCATCTCGACAAGCATCTCTTTATGCTCTTAATCATTCCGAACGATTTTTTACATTAAAAGATATAGCAACAAAAATTTTACCAATTGCTTGTCATGCCACAATTGATCCTGAACTTGATGTTCGACAACAAGTAAAACAAAAAAAAAAAAAAGAAAATTTTGTTTTGCATTCCATTGAATTTTATCGATATAGGCATTCAAAACAATACAAATATTTGTTAAAAAATTAGAAACTGTTTCAGAAAAACCCGAATTAGCTATTGAAATGGGTATGATATCATTTTGATTTTCTTTTGTTTCAAAATTAAATTTCGAAACAAAAATTGAAATTTTTTTTTTTTTTGTAGAAAAAGACGTTAGTTCAAGTAATGTTGGCGGAATAGCAGCAAATGAAACATCATGGACATCATGGGCTTTAACATCACTTTCGAGTAATATTGGTAAATTAACAACAAAACCACAACAACCATCAGTTAATTTAACATTAGCAAAAAGTGATTCACAAAATGCTTTAGCAAATTCTTCAACAACTACAACAACAACAACAACAACAACAACAGCGAAAGGTCAGTTTTTATGTACCATTTGTTTAATCTTATAAGGAAATATTGAAATAATCAAAATTATTTCTAGTTGCAGTTATTGTTCTGTTAAATCTTGTTTGGTTTCAGCTTAAAGAAAATTATTTTAGAATTTATTTGCATTCAGTCTCAAAATAAGCGTTAAGAGAGAAATGATGAGATCATCGAATATACGAAACATTCGATAAAGAAAATTTTTCTTTGTTTTTTTGTGTATTCAATGCATCGATATCTGAAACCAGTCACTCCATAATTACATAGCGATGTATCTCCTGCTAGAATTCAGAATCAGATAGTTCCAATGTGAGCAGACATTGGTTATCCATACATGGGAAGGATTCGAACTTAGAAGTGAACAAAGTTGAACCTACATTTAAAATCAACCGACTGATAGTATTTGAAATGGAAGTATTTCTATTCGTGAGCAGCATAGAATACTTTGGACACGTGAAATCTTTCTTGAGCAGAACAACTCAAAAATTTGTGTAAAAGATGGTAGTGAAATACATCGTCAAACAAGGATCGATTAGCAGAAAAAAGAAAAAGTTCTTTACCAGTTACGAAATATTCTTTTAACATGTGACATTTGTACGAATGTCAGATGTGTATGAACCAAAATAATGTATTCAAAATTCAGATCTATTTTTGATGAAATCCTATAACGAAGAATATTTTTAGTTTGCTATTCGATGTAATTATGTTTACTAAAAAATAATTACAAAATTCTGTAAACGGTCGATATTTTTTAAATAGCTCAGCTCGAGCTATTTATATAAACATTCATGAATTCTTTAGGTGATTGTATATCTAAATAGTTGCTTTTGTCATTGACGAGAAGTAGGTGTTATAACGTAAACAAAAAAATGAAATTCTGTAACGATAGGTAACGTCAATATGTTATGTAACTTTTTATTCTCTATGAAATGATTGAAAAAAAATATTCAGAAGTAAATGTTATATTCAGGGTGAAATATGATCAACATCTTTCTCTTATGTAATGATTTTTTAATAGAAAGAAAAAACAATGTTACTAATTTTAATTGTCATGACATAATTGTCAAACAAAAAAGAACACGACATTCTGAATCACCTACAAACACTATATTGAATCAAGTAAATTTTAGAGAATTTTTTTCTTGCGAAAAATTTACCTGTGGTCCCCTTCGGATCAATTTCGCACATGAAAAAGAAAAATTGTCTAAAACGTCCTTGATTCAATGTAGCTTTTGACGTTGATTGCGAATGTCATGTCTATTATGCTTTACAAATATACCATGACAATGGAAATCGGTAAAAAAATTTCTTTTCTCTATTGAAAAATCATCATGCAAGAGAGAGATATGATTCTCGTTTTGTCACGAAGGTATGATTTGTTTTTAAATTTTTTTTTTTTAATCATTTTGAAGATAAAATTATGTAGTTGCCGGTTTCAAATATCGATACATTGAACGCCTAAAAAAAAATATTTTTGTTATCGGGTGCTTTGTATACTCGATAATCTCAGGATTGCTCTCTTAAATACTCATTTTTGGCTTAATTCAGTCGACGAATATTACTATTTTTTTTTTTGTTATCTCTCCTAAGTTTTGCTTTAAGCGATGTGATTTATAAAATTATTCGCTAAAAATCATAGAAAATTTAACTAAAATTTTTTGTTTTGATTTGAACAAATATCTTTTTTGGTCCTCCTATCTCAACATGAAACAGAAAATACACTTCTTTCTTGTATACTTTGTTTAATTCAAATGTGTATTGATTTATGTCATCATGACATTTTATTATTCTTACATGTTTGTTATATAATAGCAATAAAAATCTATGTGAAATAATTGTTTTAATTTTGAGTTTTAATCTAAACATATCTTTTTTCCTTTTTTGATTTTCTATATTGTTGAATAGATTAGAAAAAAAATTCCATTAGTTTTATTTTATATTAAATATCCTATCATGAATTTCGATTAGACAATTTAATATTCCGAGAACACTTTCTCGAATAATAATACGAAGTTTTTTATTAATAAACACTAATACATCTATTGATAAGAAACTAATATAATTATTTGCTTCTTAGTACGTCAAGTCGTATAGAACTTTAACCAGGAATATTCTAAGTAACAAAAAAATTATGTTAAATTTGTGATTGTATCTTGAAACATAGTGGAACGACCAGGAGGACATGATCGATTGTTGACTTTGCCAAAATTCACATATTAGAATAAATACATTTATGATTAGTCTATCTTACTGTAAAATAAAATCTTCAGAAATTAAGTTGAACGTTAGGAAAGTCCATCGCAAAAAAAAACAAATCTTCATACATTGGTAATAATATCCGAAATCATATTTATTAATAAGCTATAGAAATATTTAAAAACAAGAAACAATTATTTCATAAGCTGCATACTGTTAAAAAAATTAGTTTCATTGAACTAGAAATAACATAGAAAAAAGTGTTTACTGAGCTGAAAACTCTGGCAAACTATGTCATGTTAACTATCAAAACAATTTACATCCGATCGATCGCAAACTTTCACTAATTATTCTCCTATAGGTTATTTATCATTATTTATAACATCGACTCGTACTAGTCGGCAAAAGCAATGCTAGTAGTTGTCTAAAAATCAGCTTGCCGATTTGCATTCAACCATATATAATAATAAATGTTCCTGAAAAGAAAAACGTCGGATATTCTTGGTCGACAAGGCTCTCAAAACCGACTATTTCGGATTTTGTAAATACGCAAAACAATCTATAATCAATTATTCTCTGACATCAATTTCATCATTGACCATAGCGCTGCCTGACATTAATGAAAACAGTCAGTATTATAAGTCTTTTCCCTGTAAATCCCTACTTTTTGAAAAATAGATATCATTTTAGTACAAAATCTGGATGATATTCAGAATCAGTTCAGTAATTTTTGATCTCTAGACAAAGAAAGCTTTAGAAACATAGTCAAACAATGTTTTTTGTGCGTTACAAAGAATTCTAATTCGATTAAGCTCAACCATTTAACAATTATTTTCCTCCATATTATTTTCTCGTTGACTATCTATCCTATATTGTATCAGTTAGGGTCGGAATTTTAAAAAAACAACTTTAATTTTTTATATCGATTCCCTTTTTTTTGTTTTATTCTTAAAATAAAATCTTAGCAAAATTCGCATTCAGCTACATCAAATTGTGTGTTGAATAATAAAAACGTATTGTCTAGAATGAAAATCACACTTCCACATATTATACAAAAGTTGCCTATTGTATTCAAATAATCTACTATTCTTTAATGTATAATCATAGTAGTGTGACACTGTCTATTTGATTTATTCATTAAATCAATGATTTGATTATTGGTAACTTAAATAGTCGATTTGTCCTTATAAGAACAAAAAAAATGTTTGTTTTTTTCTTTCTTTTATTTGATATGCGTAAATGTCATATCTCTATTGTTAAGAAAAAAACAATACGTAAAATTATATTCTTGAAACTTATAGAATAATATGTTATATAAATAAGACATGATTTCTTTTTTATAGAAAAGTTTACATAAATGAATAGAAAAAAAAAATCTTGAAAATAAAACAAGAACGTAGATGAAGGTGAAATGTTTATTTTGTAAACAAGTCGAATGATAGATTGTAATAATTTGTCATTGATTGTTGATTGACTGACTTCTTTTTCGTAAATAATTGATAAATTATTTTCATACCTTACGTTTGCTTTAATGCGCTTGTATTATTCATTTTATCTAATATATACAGAAAAAAAACAAAAACAGTCATCAAACGATAGAGTCCAATATACATTCTTTCCTTTTCTTGTTTTGTATGACATTATGTAAACATTATAGCAGAGACAAGTAATAATGGACAACCACCTATTACAACCAAAACAACAACGAAATTACAAATTAAAGTAGAAAAAGAAGAACAGGTATGCAACAAAAAAAAACCAACAACATATTTTAAGTCTTTTTATTAATTTAATAAAATAATTCATTATAGGATCGACAATCGTCAGCATTAGCTTCATATTTTAATAAAATAAATGATAATGACGAAGAAGATAAAACACCATGGGATGATATAAAATCAAATGATTGGGGTGATTCATTAGAAACTGAAGATGATAAATGGGACGATTTTTCTGCTACTACACTATCATCTCAACCAGCAAAAGCAACAACAACAACAACAACGACAACAACCAAATCTTCTAGTGTATCAAATCCATCTTCATGGGCACAAGATAAACCATCTTCAACAAGTCAAAAAAAGAATGATTGGGATAGTGATGCATTTTTTGATGACGTTCTTACAAGTGCAACGAAACCAAAACCGAAAACATCTCGACATTAACCTGTGGTATTTGGTCATGTTTCTAAGGTGTTCTTTTCTTCTTTTCTTTTTGTCTCATGCACTTGTTATTTCTTTTATTTATAATTCAAGAAAGAGAATATTATTCGTTAAAATACAAATTATAACACCAATTGGTATTCGGCGACTGTTTTTTTTGTCTTCTTTAGAAAAAAAAACATTTATTTTTTCTGCTTTTTTTTTGTGGATTATTGCTAAAGATACTATTTAATAATCTAAGAAATATTTCTGTATTCATTTTTATTTCAGATGAATGACTTCACATTGTATATTATCAGTATTATTTTATGTTTATATATTTTATTGACATGTGCCGACAATAATGAAACTACTGTTGATTCTATAGCTATTGCTAAACCACATGCAAAAGGTAATGAAATAATAAAGATTATATTAAAGTTTTTGAAAAATGCTGCTCTTGCTTATAGTTAATTCTTCAAAAAAGCGAAAAAAAAAAAGAATTCGATTAATTAGTATCTAGCTTAAGCTAAGCTATCAATTATAGAACAGTTCGGGCTAAATATTAACTTTTCTATATTTTGATTCTTCAGTTTATTTTTTGTAATTTTCTTAAATAACAGAATATCAGTTTTGTATAAAAATCTACTTATTAAAACAATATGTTTTTCTTTTAATGTATTCATCTGTTAGCGAACATTGGTTTTAATTGATGTATTTTTATTTGTTATGAAATATGAAACAAGTAACATTTCATCAGTAGGTATGATCATAATTTCAATGAAAATAAATATTTTGTCAAAAAAAGCAGAATGATCAAACTAAAACTTTCTTTTAATTATACTAGAAAGTGTTTAGACTGCATAGTTATCTTTTTGATTTCAGAATATAATATACCACTGATTTATGCCAAGGTTTCATACAAAAATAAGACTTATATATTTGAGGGTGCACTCAATAGTGTGATCTTCTTTATTTGAATCGAAGAAAATAAAAAGAAACACTTGACGTACCAAACAGTGTCTAGTATTTGTAAAAACGAATGTCAACTCTATCAGACGTATTGCAGTTGAGAAAATGTGACAACTTTTGTCCATTGCGACCTTGATGTCTTCTAGAAGGAACTAAGAAGAGTGTTATAGAATTTGAAATTCATATTTTTAAATCTATGTTTAATTTCGCGTAGAGATTGGAAGGATGACGTTTTCTAGGTAATTAATTTTGTTCTTCTAATAGTTTATGTTCATTACATCAAGAATTATATGTTCTTGTTCTCTTCAAAATTCCAAACTATTCTTTCTTCAGTAGAAAAATCTGATATTGAAGGTCATAAATGTTTTTAAAAAATTTTTAATACTAATCAAATATATGAAAATCAAAGTTTATATTTTTTTATTGTAGTATGTGGCGATATTCGTGTAACATTATTTGAATTACGACGTGGTTTTGATGCTCATGCTTTATCATCTTGTGAAATAAGTCTTGGTTCAGTCACATATGCTCCAATGCATTCCTTAATAAATGCCAATACAACAATATCAATACGTTTTCCATATCTTCGTGAAGTCTATGGTTATATGTTATTAGGTTATTCATCTATGCGTTCATTTTCATCAATGTTTCCACGTTTATCAATTATACATGGACGAGATTTATATCATGGATATTCATTAATTGTTATGGATAATTTTTTATTAGATAATTTAGGTTTAACATCATTAATTAATATACGTCGAGGAAATATAATTATAGCTCGAAATGCTCAATTATGTTATGCTGAATCTTTACGTTGGAATGATATAATGGAAACAAAAAAGAATCAAGTTATAGCACGACAAAATCGTGATAATTGTGCTTTTTGTCCAACATGTCCATCAGCATGTTGGTCACCAACACAATGTCAACAACGATGTTCACCTAATTGTCCAGGAAATTGTTTATCAGAAACAGTATGTTGTCCGGAACAATGTGTTGGAGGATGTCATTATACTAATACAACATCAACATCAAATTTAATTTGTAATGCTTGCAGAAATATGAGAATTTATTCTACAGGAATATGTGTACAAAAATGTCCAGAAAATATGTTGAAAGTAAATTATAGTTTCTTTTCCTATCGATTATTTCTTTGATAATAACAATTGACTAATTCCTTGTTCAAAATTCAGATTAAATGAGTAAAAGAATTGTTCGATACAAATTCTCTGATAAGAACTGATTCTGTTCCAATAGTTAAGTTCATGGAATTGAACTATCCAAAAAATGTTGTTCTGTTTTGGGAACTGCATTCCATTAATAAAACAAATTTTTTTTTTATATCTGTCAATGCCATTCCCAACATGGAACAAATATTGTTCGGATAGTTTCTATCAATAGAACTATTTGAACAGATTATAGAACGTTTTCAACAACTTCTTAGATCCGAATTAGGATTGAACTTGTCGACCTCTATTTGATAATGAAAGACCGAAAAACAATAAAAAGAAAAGAATAACATCGAATATAGATGAGAAAAGATTATGCATTGTAAAACTGTTAAAGTTCTAGTTAAGACTCAATTTTTATCTTAAAATGAATGATGTTTTCAATTTTCGATTGATGAATGAAAAACTAAATTAATAAGGTTTTAGAATATAACTTCATAAGGAGTATTCATATATCGATAAAATTACTCAAACTTGTTAAAATCTATGTATTAGATAAAAATCAATCATTATACTAACATTACCATCATTTTTTTTTAATAGGAAATCTCAACTTTGATATAGTATTAAAACTAATTTTGAATTTGAATATATTTTTCTTGATTTGGATTTCAATGAAGTGTGAGATTGATACGAAAAAAAACAGAAATTCCTCGTAATGATTATCTTGATTTTGTAATTTCATATTGAGTATATTCGCAAACAACTATTCTCAATTTACTTTTACAACTTTAGTTGTTCAAATTTAACTCTTGCCTGCTTTTTACACTACATGTTTTTCATTATTTTTCATTGTCATCAAACTCTTTTATAGTTCGTTTGTAATCTTAATTGGAGAAGGATATGAGAGTGTTAGTAGTATATAATATCATCTGAATAAAAACGAAACTTTTTTTGTTTCTTTTTTCATATTCGTAAACGACATTATTCCATATTTAATACTAATCTATTCCTACATATTTTAAATGAATTTTATTTTCAAGGCTGGTGGTTCTTTATGTGTAACTCGTCAAGAATGTACATCATTTTTTTTGGGTACTGGTTATATATTAGAAGAAATAAATGAATGTGTTTTATCATGTCCATCTGGTTTTAATCGTGTGACAGGTTCACGTTGTACGCGTTGTACATCATCTCCAGAAAATAATTATTGTAATGGTGCATGTCGTGAAAAACATATTCGTTCAATAGGAGATTTTCAATCATTAAAATATTGTTCACGTGTACATACATTAAATATCTACAATATAGAAACAGTTGGATCAAGTGGAAATAATTTTTTAGAAACATTTACTGCATTTAATTCACTTGAACAAATTGATCATGAATTTACAATACATAATGTTAAAATATTTTCAACATTAAGTATTTTTTCTCAATTACGTCGTATTGGTATAACATCAAATGCTTCAATGACAATTGAAGAAAATGAATTTTTAACTGAACTTTGGCCATCGACACAACAACGACCAATTATACAAGGAAGTTTAAATATCGTTCGTAATGCTCGTTTATGTTTAAAACATATTATAAATTTTATTAATTATACAACTACACGTGAAAAAGGTTTGATGTTGTTGTTTTTTGTATTGAAAAATTTCAATTTTATTATTTAGAACTTCAAGTAACACGAGATACAAGGAATGAATATGCTAATGGATATTTAGCATCATGTGAATCAAGTTTTTTAAAAATAACAATTGATAAAATACGTTCATTAACAGCACGAGTTAGTGTTGCTATACCAAAAGAATTATTTCTTCGTTCAAGTGGTACAGCTGAACATTTACGTCGACCATTTTTATCAGTTTATTATAAAACAACACGAACAAAAAATGAAACACATTTTGAGGCAACAAATTCACGTAAATGGTCAAGAGTAGTCGAAAAAGTTCATTATAATCCATCACCTCATGGTAAATATTTATTTGAATTTCAGAGTCAAACATAAATATTTAATATTCGAATTGATTCTTTAATATAGATATATCTGTTCAGGCTTCTACTAAAAAAAAATGCTTCATTTCATAAATTGAATTTTTAATCTTTTCATTGTACATGTTCTCGTGCTTAAGATTGTATGACGATGAAAAATTGTATGTTTTTTTCAGATTGTGAATATAATCTCTCATATGATCGTTCTATACAATTAGCTCAGCCTTCTCTTAGAAATAAACAAAACTATGTCTATACTCTTTATTTTCTAATATTAATTCCCTAGTTGTCATTGACATAATCTAATGTCAAAGCAATCTTTATGGAAGAATAAAGACTATAATCTCTTAAACGTACTTTGTATCGATTCTAATTTTCTCTATCGGCTCGAACACTTCACATCAGTTATTGTTCTCTTTGTTAAGTATTGCTGTTCTATGTTTAATATAGCTTCTCTTCTTAAACTGACACTTGCATGTCAATGAATTATGGTAGATTTTTCTCTAGATAACAGTAACAAACACAACTATACAATGGATTATATATTTTAAAAAAAACAATAAAGTTCTTTTAAAAAATCGAGATGCAAAGATTCTATTAAATTTTCTGACAAGAATCTCAGTTTTGAACTCATTATTGTAGAATTGAATTGTTTTCGATTTACTATTGTAATGTGGAGGTGTTCTGAGTAAGAATTAGAAAAGACGAATAATAGTGTTACGGTGACTTTTTGACTTCAGAACAAGATCTATGTAGGCTATATAGTAGAGGAAGACTTCTTCAATCTAATGACATATGTATTATCAAGTTCTATTGTGTACTATTAAGATGTCAATTGGGAGAACCACTTTCGTTATGTTAGATTGTAGTCAAGTGAAGGTAGTGCCCTCTATTGACGTTTCCATGGTATACTATAAGACTTAATAATACACACCATATTAGGTAGAGGAAGACTTTCGCTACTAATTTACATATATTCCGCGTGTGGGTTAAAGCCTTCTAATTATCTTTCTTTCCGTCAGGGTACAGAGTACAACAAAAGCTTACTCTGTACATCTCAAGTATAACGTATATGGAATTATTACATATATTTGTTGAGGAAAATATTTATATTATTATTAATTATTTTTAAGCTTCTAAAAGTTTACTACTTAGTCTAAAAAAAGACGAAATTAACAGTTAATGAAATTCAACAAATGGTTCATTTTTTTTTAAGGTGCTTCGTTTACAATGAGTGCGCAGTTAACAACACTATCTGGTGATGAATGGTATGCAGTTTATGCATCTATAACATCAAATCTTAATACAATCGGTTTATTTTCTCCGATTGCTTATTTTCGTACATTACAACGTCAACCTGAACCAATACTTAATTTACGAGGTGAGTCATTATCTCATTCAACAATTGAATTAGTATGGCAACCACCGTCAAAACCTAATGGTCCCATAAAAACTTATCTTATTTATTATGCACCAATGGAAGATCGTTTACCAATAAATAATTCAAACTTCCTTTGTTTAATGAAAGGTGAATTGAATAAAAAGCAAAATAAAATGAATTAATACATGACAAAAGAATAAATAATTTGCTTATTTCTTTTTTTATTTTCTAAAAGATCGTTGGCGATCAGAAGAAACTGTTCAACTTAATCATTTAAATCTTACACAATCATCACGATGTGGACGACCAAAATCTCGAATATCTCATGCAAATACAAATAATGATGATGAAACAGATGATGAAAATGAACAAAATACAAATATTGATCAAGTTGTTACTGATTTATCCATACTTGAATATCAACTTATTAATTCTGTAAGTCAACGAAAAGATCCATTATTTATTCGTCAAGAACTTAAAGATACAATTATTAATGACTTAGATCATTATTTTGAAGATAAAAGTAGTGCTTTTAACGATAATTATAAATCAGATTCTCAAGAACAACCCGTTGTTGAGCATAAACCACATATTGATCAGTATAATCAATCTGTATCTGATACAAAAATTATTATTGATAATTTAAAAGAAGCACAAATGTATATGTTTCAAGTATATGCATGTCATGATATATCAAAACAAGCTTTATCTGAGGCTTGTAGTCTTAATGGAATTATATTAGCTGTCAGAACAAAGCCCGGTGATCGTATGTATTTTATTTATTTTAATGAATCAAAGAAAAGTTCTTTTTTGTCTATATAAAATTCAATTTATTAAGTTGATCAAAACATTTTAAGTCTTAAGAAAAAGAAATTACTATGAGTATCGAAATAAAATAGTTCCACCGTCAAAGTATAGTTCCATTTCAACTAGAGATGTACCAAAGCCAATTCTTGGGTTTGACTGAATTTGGAATTGGTGCATCCATAATTTTGACATTTGACATGAAAAACTAATTATAAAGTTATCAATAAGAGTATATGGAGTAAGAAATGACTTCAACGTCCAAATAAGCAGAGTTGTAACGACACTAGGGAGCTGTGGGTCCTTCCAGATCTGGACCTGGACTCAACCGGGTTCGGGTCCAACCTTTTATTTTCTGTTGAGTCCGGTTGCACGTTTTTGTGAACCCACTGCTCCCCAGATGAGAAATACAGCAACAAGACATAACTGTACGTTGAGTTGTTTTCCTGAGAGTAGTAAATAAATAGCTGAAAACTTGATCCTCTACTTGTTCATGTACACGAAGGTTGCCAGATGTTGATCGAAAAAATCTCGACTTTGGATCCAATTGGGCCCAACCGAGTTCAAATTTTTAATTTTTTTTGGGATCAGGTGTGGGTCCAAATTTTAAACTTCGTCCGAACGCGAATCCGAATCTGGGTCCAAATTTTAAACTTCGTCCGAACGCGAATCCGAATCTGGGTCCAAATTTTAAACGTCGTCCGAACGCGAATCCGGATCTGGGTCCAAATTTTAAACTTCGTCCGAACACGAATCCGGATCTGGGTCCAAAAAAACATGAATCTGCAGCTCTCTAAATGGCATAGAATTTTTTCCTTATTACTATAGGGACCCGAGGTCCTAATCAGCTAGGCTGAGCTGAAGAAATCCGACCTATAGGTTATCGACATTGAACTCGGCTCAGTTCATGTTTTTTTAAATGACCTACCTATGAGTGCTCATGGACTATTCATCTGATTCCAACCTTTCCTAACACATAGCTTAGCTTGTCATACTAATGGAAGTTATTTATTACCGTTAGCAGAGGTCTCAAGGAGCTGGAGTTGGCTCAATTCGTTGAGACCTTCATGTTATTTTGAATAGTAAGATCAATACTTCCGCAGCCCGAAATCGTGGATTTTCGGCGAAAAGACACTGTTTCTGACCAGAAAATGGTAGAAATTAGGATCTAGGCATTCAATGGCCGCCAGCTCTGCTCGGAGCTGGAAAACCCAGCCAGTGAATTGAATCATTGAATTCTTGCTTTCAAATTCTTACAGTTTTTGGCTGGAACTGGCCATACTTCATTCATCTGGATATATGGAATTATAAGTTGTGAATAGTGACAAACACTAATAAATGAGTAATAAATTGGTATACTAAACAATTTCTTTGCTTTTACTTTGATAACATAAGTTGATATTGAAGTGAACTCATAAGAATATTTTTAGAATAATATTCGAAATTTAAATCAATAGATTAATTTGATTCGTATTTGTTTTTTCAAGAATAAATTTAAATATCATTGAAAAATATTTAATTCATAGAAAACAGATACAGTTTTTCAATCAATTTCTTCAGAAAAAAAGTCCAGATGATCGATAAGAAACCTTCTATTGGACCTCAATGGATTCATCTTATCAGATCATTCATTGTTATTAGTTCAAATTTTCCTATAAAAATTATTATTTCTTTCTTATTACATTCTTTCGTTTATTAATTAGTTTCCTTTGTGTTTTTTTTCTTCTAGCATCACGGGATTTAGTACGTAATGTTCAATTAATTGCTCCAATAGAAGATTCTGATCTTATAACTACTAATACAAAATCACTTACTTATCAAATATCATGGTTAGAACCATTACAACCAAATGGACTTGTTTATTTTTATATTATATATATTGGACAAAATAGTAATAATGGACCAAAAGAAGAACGTTGTGTTGGACATGATATAAATTCAGTAAATGTAACCCTGTCACCGAGAACAACATATCGTTTAAAAATAATTACATATACAATAGCTAGATTAAATAATGAATATGGAGATAGAGAACATATTAATGGTGAACAACATTCATTGAATTCAACAGATTTATATTTTGAAGTAATTTTTACAACAAAAGATTTAGCAAGTAAGATCAATAGAAATAAAAGTCTGTAGAAAAATTATGAAAGTTTAAAATGAATTAAGTTGATGATGCTGTATATTAGATTTTCAAACTAACATATATTCTATATGAAAATAATCCGCTAGTCTAATCGAACAATAAGGTCAGTTTTACCGTAATCCAGGTCGACGTTTTACGACTGCGCTTCATAAGAATAAGGCATACATACGATGTAAATACAGTGCTTCCAGGTGAAATAACCACAGTCGTAAACGTCCATTTCGAATGATGCTTTTCTCTCCGTTTGGTAGATGCAATATTACGAACGTATTTCACTGTATATTAAATGTTCGGATAGTCGATTTTCAGATCAATATCAATTGTTTACGGCATGATAAAATACGATCGTCATACTGTGTCTATCCGACATCAATTTACAGCTATTAATGATCACAAACTATATGAAAAGACAGTATACGGTATCGCGTTTTTGGCCGTTGCGACGACTTTAATCATTGTTGTTGAGCCTAGCTAGGGTAATCATTCTGATTGTTGAAAACGACGTATTACTGCATTAATTTTCGCCGTAATCCGTCAGCTCGTTTTACGAGTTTACGAAAAACGATGAATTAAAGACGGAGGTTTTTCGCATTCTCTTTGGCATGGATGAGTTGACTATCTCGATATCTAAATGTTTGTTGTGTTTCTTTTTCTCAAATTCTATTGATTAAATATAAATAAATTTCAGGTAATGAATTAGCCCGACAAAATCGTTTATTAGTATTTATATTAATGATTGGTTTAACTACACTTTTATTATTATTTCTAATTGGTGCATTACTTTATTATTATAAATATGGTCGAAGTGATACAAAAGCTTCGATTTCAAAAAATCCAAATTATGGTTTGTTAATTTTTCACATTTTGTTTGATTCGTTGTTTTTTTCAAATATTTTATTTAGAATTATATACACCCGATCGATGGGAAATTGATAAAGATTCTGTTACATTAGATAAACTTATTGGTCACGGACATTTTGGTCAAGTTTATCAAGGTGTTTTGAAATTACAAGATGGAACATTAAAAGCATGTGCAATTAAAGTAAACACGAAACTTTTTAGAATGAAATCAATCGAAATTTTTGTTTTTATTTTAAAGCTTCGAACAACACATCCAACTGATTTATTACAAGAAGCATCAATAATGAAGTTTGTTTAGACTATACATGAAAAAAAAAAGAAATTCTTCTAACTTTTTTCTTTATTTTGTATAGACAATTTCGATGTTATCATGTTATTCAATTATATGGAATATGTTCACGTATTCGACCACCTTATGTTGTTATGGAATTAATGGTAAATGGAGATTTAAAAAATTATCTTTATCGACATCGACCAAGTGAACTTAATGTATGAAATATATTTATTTAATGTTTGTATTTTAAAGATTAATAAATTTTTATTTTTTGTTTTAGCCAAATAGTCCAACATTATCTGAATCAGAAATGATTCAATTAGCATTAGATGTTGCCGATGGAATGTATTATTTATCAGATCAAAAATTTGTTCATAGAGATTTAGCTGCAAGAAATTGTCTTGTTAATGTAAATCATACGTGTAAAGTTGGAGGTAAAATTAGAATATTTACGTTTGTGATGTGAGATGATTTCATTTCCTGAAGGATTAAGTTTTTTGATATCGAATTAATTATTCAATAAGTACATAAAAAACCGATGTTCACTCAGTTTTGATCTGCTTAATCACTGCTTTTTTTAAAAATAATTGAAAGGATTGGTGCTAACAGTATATATACTAAACGTGGTACACCGATAGACGATCCTCCTGACGTGAGTCTAACATAACCAACGTGAAATGCTTAACTCAAGATTCACTTCCTCTGAATATTTCATCACGATTGAATAATCCAAAACATAACTTCTGACAACTGGTTTCGTTAATTAAAGAAGCAGTAGAAATATGTCGAAAAATAATTCAAAATCTTCTGTGGAATATTACAATACTTGTATTCTTATAGCAATAAGTGTCAAAAGGTTCAAATTCTGACATAGGATAGATGGATACATCTAGTATACGTACCAAATCATTCGTTAACAACGTCACTTCGTAAAAGGACATCAACTGTCACTTCATGCATTTTGTTTTCAAAAAAGTTCAAATTGTAGCAGCATTGTTGAAAACTAAATAGTACATTCTGTAGACAACTCTTAAGGTAGCCAAATCTCTATCCAAAGTCTTTCCTGAGTATGCCAAAATTTTTCAAAACAATCGATTAACTTTCCGTTAGCAACGTGACTGAGTACGAATATACAAACGAAAAAATGCTGTTATAATCAAATGAGAAGTTCAAAACCATTTCCAAACAGTACAAACCCTTCTGCAAAATCTCTAGATGATAGTAAGACAAAAGTTTATATTTCCGAACTTGATATGATGTCTAAAAAACTGGTTTTTGAGAGAAGAAGTTTTTGAGGTCTAATTTTGCTGAAAAACTCACTAAAAATGCAATTCGTGTCGTAGAGTCTATCCAGGATTTTTCCTCTTATGATCAGAAAGATATTTATTAATTCATTTTTAATTCACAGCTAGTTGAAAGAGCCAATATTTTTACATATATCTATAGTAAAAGAACTTATTCAGAAAAATAACCATTATAAAGAATCAAAGTCAACTGAAACGTTAGTATGAGCTATTTTGCCTAGAATGATCCATATATACTATTAACACATTGAACCCGATTTGATTCTACGAGGTAGCAAATAATATTTTTTAGAGGGTACAGCTCCAAATACAAATGATATCAACATTGACTTTTATGCCAAATGAAACCTCGTCGAAAACGGAATTTAGTAGTATAACTAGCAATTCATAGAATAACTATGTGCTAAAGAATTACTAAAAGTTCCAAAATTTTCAGACATATAATTAAGTATTTTCATGGGTAGTCAACCATGAAAAACAAATAGATTTCAGAAAATGTTTCGTCTGTCGGACTTTGTAGAGCTCTCTTTGCCGATCATTTTAATAAAAAAAAGTTTCTTAAATTTAATAAATAAATGACAGTGCTAGAGTCGAAATACTGAAAAAAAATCATAGCTCTAGCGCAGACAGAGCTGTCTCATTTTTTTCAGTATTTCTATCCTAGCGCCGTCATTTATTTATTAAATTAAAAAAAACTTTCTACCAAAATGATCGGCAAAGAGAGCTCTACAAAATCTGACAGACGAAAAAATTTTCTGAGAACCTTTTGTTATCACAGCCGACTAATCACTGTACAATATAGTGAGACCCACCGGCGGGTCTCATCGGGTTGAATGTGTTAATATCAGCCTTTTCCATTAATGAAATAAGTAAAAGAAATAATACTGATTAAGCAGATCAAAACTTAGTGTACATTCTTTATGAAGTATCTTTCGTATTCTTGATTTATCCTATATAATAATTGTACTGTTCTCAAGAACGTTAATATGCATCTCTCTGAGAACATGTATTTGCTAGAGGTATCACAGATCGATAATAGTTCTGATCTGAACCATTGACTTTTGAAAACAACTCTTAAAGCTGAGCTGTACCAAAAAACATTTGTTTTTTGTGAAAACTCAATTCAACTTAAAAGAATCATTTACACAGAATAATTCATATGAAAAGCATCTTTCAACAATACCTTAGTTCATTTGATCTAAACAATTCAAACTTATGAAATATTTATTTATATAGATTTTGGATTAACACGTGATATCTATGAAACTGATTATTATCGACGTGGTGGTCGAAGTTTTCTTCCTATTCGATGGATGGCACCAGAAAGTTTAAGAGATGGACGTTTCGATACCATATCTGATGTTTGGTAAAAATTCAAAGTTCATGTTTTTTTTCTCGAATGATATATTATGTTTTTCAGGTCATTTGGTGTTCTTCTATGGGAAATAGCAACATTAGCTGAACAACCTTATCAAGGTTATGGTAATGAAGAAGTTGTACATTATGTTCGATATGGAAATATAACACTTGAACGTCCACAAAATTGTCCAGAAATATTGTAAGAAAAATTAATAATTTCCTTGAAGAGTTTATTGATGTTTTACTTTTTGTTTTATTTTCATTTAGACATAAATTAATGCGTGCTTGTTGGACATTTGCACCCGGTGATCGTATATCTTTTCGATCAATAGTTGATGAATTAGTTCCATTTGAAAATGAAGATTTTCATTTAAATGCATATTATCATACTCAATCAAATCCAAGCTCAGCAACAGTTCTATTGGATAGTAATAATAATGATGAAAAAGATTTATTATTAGCTGATGATAATGACAGTGAACAGCATTAAAAATATGAATCTCAAATTGTTGTTTATATTTTTTATTTTTATTTTATATTCATATATATATATATATATTGTTGGTTTCGTTTTTTTTTGTATGTAGTTTCGGTAATATTGCATTTTATGTTTTAATAATGTTGTCTGTACAAATAAGAAATGACAGTATCTATAATTTTAGATGATGTCTAATTTAGAATAAAACAATGGTTAATTATTCTCTTACTAGTGAACAACAACGTGATGAAGTGCCGAATACATATGGATTTTTTGTTTCACCGAATGAACTTGAGTAAGAAAAAGAAGAAAAGTTCGTTTTTTTTTTGTTATGCAATGTGTTGTGTCTATTTTATAGAACAGAAGAATCAGTAAAAGCATCAGTAGCTCGTCGTCGTGAACAAAAATGGCTTGATATGTTTGCACGATGGTCTTCATTTATTGAATCGCGTTTTGATAAAGTAAAAACACGTTGTCGAAAAGGTATACCACCATCTGTACGTGGTCAAGGTTGGTATCATTTATCAGCAGCTAAATATCGACATGAAAATGCAGATAGAAATTGTCCAACAGGAAGTGTATTTAATTTATATTTAACACAAACACCAGCTTTAAATGTTCTTGAAGATATAAAAAAGGATCTTGCTAGATCTTTTCCAGATCATGAAATGTTTAGAGATAATGGATGCGGGTAAAAGGAAAAAATTTTTTTGAATAATATTTTTAATTTATTTATTGATTATGATTTTTAGACAAGAAAGTTTATTCGATGTTCTTAAAGCATATGCTGTTCATGATCCAGCTGTTGGTTATTGTCAAGCACAAGCACCAATTGCTGCTATTCTATTAATGCATTTACCACCTGAACAAGCATTTTGGGTATTTGTTCAAATTAATGAAGAATATGTTAAAGGCTATTTTAGTGATGGATTAATGGCTGTTAAAGAAGACGCATTAGCAACACAATTACTTATACAAAGAGTTTCACAAAGAGGTTATCGTTTACTAGTAAGTGTTTATTTATTCTCATAAATAAGAAAGATTCGAAAAATGATTCATCATGAATTGTAAACTATTTATTATATTAGCAAATAGACTTGTTGCTTTTCTAAAGTTGCTGTCTTTTTATCTAGAATCATAAGCGAATAATTTATATTGATACGAGAAATAAAGTAAAATGAGTATAAGACGAATATATCGAGAATAATGAAAAGATGACACTTCAGGACTAGAGATGTATGGAATCAAGTTTGTTTTGGTTCTGGTCCAGGTAATTTTTCTTCCATCGATCACAGTCCAGAGAAAACTATTCGAGAATTTATTTTTATCATATCTAAAAAAAATTCTTTCATACTCATTTTTTATTTACTTAGTCGACGATCATCACTTTTTTAGCTCATCTCTACAGCCTGTCGAATTAGTTTCGGACCTGATGGAGTCTAGTCGTCTGAGAAATATGTAGAGTATGCTAATCGTTGATTACAAAGAACTGGAAAAAAGTATTCCATATCTCGTATCGTCGGTGCAATTAGCCAATTTCGATTAGAAATTTTTTTTAAATATCAAAGTACGACTCCATTGAGTCTGGGTTCCAAAAACGTTCAATTAACCGAGTTCGGATCCGAAAACTTTGGGATTGACAGGTCTAGTCATCTCTCTTGAATTATATTCTGATCGATGATTTATAAGATGATTTACTTAAAGTCATAGAATATTATGCTGTAATCTTTAGTTCATATTGAAACAACTTTTCTCTCGTAGTCTCGGTCCTGATCTCGGCACACATTCAAATTTTGATTGCGTACATGTCTATTCGTGACATCTGAGTCGATTATTATATATAACACAAAATCATATCAAAACCTATGAGATCGAAAAACTCCGTAAAACATGCATATTGTTGATAGCAAGTTGCAACAACTTTCTTTAGAAAACTTTCGATTTACTCTGTTTAACATAATGAAGTATAAAGCTAATCATGTAAGGATACCACCTCAAAAGAATTTTTTTCGAGCATCCAATCTTGACAAAATTTCCAGAGAAAGTATATCTCGAATTAGACACCTCATAGTAAATGTTTCAGCTCTATACACTGAGTCTATCAAGAATTAGCGTAAGATGGATGTGGGTGTGAGTGTGAGCATGAGTCTCCAGTTCACTCACACCTTCATTCCATTCTATAGTTTTTCATGTTTGAGTGTTGTATTAACTTATCCTACTTCACGATGCATGATAGATATATTGATCATTACCGAAAGTCAACAGAGAGACTTAAAAAACTTTAAAAATCAAAATTTTTGCAAAAAAATGTTACTTTCTTCAGTATGAAAGTTTAGAAAAACCTATGCAATATTCTTAAATCTCACTAAAACATCAATAATCTATAGTGCATTCATGAGTAGATATTTTTCTCTATCAAACGAATCATAAATCATAAAATTGATAAATTTGACCGAAATTGACTTTTTTCTGAGAGAGAAGTCTTAAGTTTTGACCAGAATCGTAGATCTGAGATCGCTCTGTTATGATTAGAATAAAGTGATGTTTCAAGATATTATTCTTTTTTTTGATTGTATCTTTTACTTATGTCTCTTTATTATTGTCATCGACATGATTAAGGAAATGAATAAATAATTCCAAAGTTAATTAAGTGTAGCTTAAATATTCGACTATTTTAAGTGCTATCTTATCATAAACGTTTCGAATCTCAAGCGAAGGATTGTATTCTCAGTCTTGCAAAATTATGATTTATATTACAATCTCTCTTATTCTAAATTCGGAATTTTTATGATTTCTATTTTCTAGCGTAAACTTGATGTTGATCCAATATTATATACACTTGATTGGTATATGACATTATTTTCTCGAACTTATCGTGCACCACAATTGTTTCGCATATGGGATATGTTTTTTTGTGAAGGTGTCAAAGTATTATTTCGTTTAGCTCTTGTTATTGTACGTGAAACACTTGATGTTGGTCCACCTGATATTGTAACTAAAGCACATAAATGTGATAATCCAATGGATCTTATTGCACTTATTAAACAAACAGCAAAAAGTTTACCATTCGATGTACTTTTAATTAAAATGGATAAACTTCCATTAACAGATATTGATCTTGCACAAGCATGTGGACAAGCAAGACAACAACTTAATTCAGATTTCAATATGACGCATAATCGAAAAACATCATCTCGAGCTCAAGCTAATAAACATAAATAATAATTTATTAAAATCTAGTGTTTCTTTTTTCTTCTTGTTGGTTGCCTTCTTTATGTATATGTATATATCGTTTAAATATTCACATTTTGTTTTCGTTTTTGGAAAATTTTTTTTTATTCATATCAGTTTTTGTAGACGATAAAAGATCGTGAAATGAGGTATTCACTTAAAGTAAAATTGAAATATATTGTTTTATCATCAGATTCTAAAGATTTCTTATTGTTTGTGATTAATTTATTATTGTGTTCATTATAAACAAATTGAATTATTCTCAATATATATATATCAATGGTATCGCATGTTATTAAAGATCGAACACTTGATTTTGATGTAAAGATCAAACATAAAAAACTTGCACATGAGATAGCAAATTCTAATATGAACATTGATAGATAATTAAAAAGTAAAATGGTAGGAAAAACGACAAATTTTTGTTTTATTTTCAAAATCATCAATTGTAACATGTAGATAAAGGATGTTCCATAATAATTGAAGATGAATTGTGGGACGAATACACCTATCGACCCCCCCTTATCTAATGACATAAATCG